TATATATATATATAAATGTATCTTACTGGTTATAATTGTTAGAAAAAAAGTATAAAAATATTTTCTATGAGTTCTCAATATTTGTTTGACTTTGTTCAAAAGGTATCTTATTTGTGTACAACACTGGCATAAAAAATTCGGCTTTTAGCATCAGAAAAGTTTGAATAAAAGTTCAATTTCGAGTATAGCTGTTTTCTTTTTCAGATCTAACCGATTCCTCTATTTCTGTCTCTACGAATCTATGGATTTCATCATCTCTAAGCGATGAAGAAGACACATCTACATGTAAGTATTAAGTAACATTTTTAACAAATATATATATATATATTTATTATCTTTCTTTTCTTTTTTTCTAAAAAAATCAGTATGAAAGCTTTTACCATTTTTTTAGTATTAACTATTTATATCTACTAACTTTATTTCAAATGAGAAATAGTTCTGCATATACGCTATCAGGGCATTCATTAACTTTCAAATATTTTTCGTGAAAAATATTAACTAAGATATAACTAAAATATTAACTCTAACTAAGTTGATGTTTTAATGTGTGACTTTATATTTTGTTAATTTTATGTAAAATTATTTTTCGCACCCTCCGCATTTCCAGTATTAAGCTACCACTTTTCATTTTTTCCTTCCCGATTTTGATTCCGTACAATGCTTATGACTCGCCAGTACTCAAGAAGTTAACAAGCGTCGGTAGTCATGAATATTTTACTTTTTCTGAAAACAATGTAGGAAATAATCTGGAAACAGGGTTACTAAAAACACGGCAAAAATATTTTAACGTTAAATATATGCAAAAATTCATGCAAGTAATTAATTTTTACAATTTTCCTGCGTTTTCTTACTCATTCGTACATTTTTCAGCACCCGCAATAGACATTATCATTACAAGGCCAAAAGACGATATTTCAAATGTTACGGTAACTGATACTTCTGAAACTGATACAACTGTTACAAATTTATCAACTCCTGATGAGGAAGGTATGTATGTTGACAGTATGGTGAAAATATTTATTTTTTCTTGATTATGAAAACATTTTTTTAAAAATTATAATTTTAACTTAAATGTACTACATAGGAATAACCTGACTACAACTGAAAAATTGAACATTTTATTATTTTACCGTATTTTCTGTGAAACAAACGCTTATAATATATGTTTAAGTAAAATACAATTTTTCAATAACTTCTTAAGTGTAATGAATTCTGATGCAATAAACCCGTAACCAAAAGAAGTACTCATCAGTAAAATTCTTATTGAAAGATAATAAAGTTTTATCTAAAGAACCTAGTCGGACGGGTTAAAATTTTTGGCAACTGCAGAGCCTGAGTCAAGATATGGACCCTAAATATTCTGCTTTATTTATCATTTTTAAAAAAAGAGAAAAACAACTCAGCATGAACGATGTGTGTTCGTGGCCCTATGATTACGAAATCCGTCTCAAATCTAAAAGAAAGCAGGCTCTACGCCAGTTTGTAACAGTTTTAATTCTTTTCTTAATACTGAAGATTAAATATTTCTTTATTTTCAAAATATGTACTCGTATGCTAAGACAATTGCTGTGATTTTAATTTAGTAAACAGTTATAATTTATTTATTAACTTTAAATGAAGATATTTTCTTTTCGTTAGTTAAGTAGGAATTTTTTTCATTTAAAGAAACATTTATTATTCTCAACTCGTTCTCTCAGTTAAGAGGTCGATGTTTTAATTTTTAGGCCACGGATGTTCATTCAGGTATGCGGTTATTGAAATTTAATATCAAATGAACTGAAACTTTGAGATATCTTGTATGATTTTGATCATGCACTTTAATTTAAACTTCGTTAAGTTCAATAGAAACATTAGAGATGTGTTGTTGTTTCTAATGCTACTTGCCATATACCAGCTAGTCTGATTCGAGAAACCAAGTGAATTTAAGACGGAAGGTGATTTTCGTGTTTTCCATCTATGGCCAAGAATACGACTTCAGCTGCACACACGTCACAGTCCGTTTATAGGGCGGACCCATTCATACATCCATTTATTCATCCGCAGATCGTAATTTTAACCTGAACCAAAGAACGATCTATCTCCTATTCAATTCCCCCAGAGGTAATGATTGGTTACATAAAGGACTTTGCGACCCGACAGATTTAACATGCACTAGTCGCCAGTTACTACACTTGGAATCTTCGGCCGGTGGGTTCGAACTGACGGCATCTTGGAAATGAGTCCAACGCCTACCAAATAGGTTATCCCGGCCTTCACAGATGTGTACTATTAAATATTTTATTTTATTTTATAACCGTCGTTGAACAGACGACCTAATTTTTGTTTTGACGACTACTAGTTTTCAACTCTGTAGCCTTGAAATTTTGAACCCAATCCAGAGGACAAGGAAACTGCTGAATCAAGTATTGGGAGAAATTCGTCATCGTGGAGGAATTTTTGATGGAACTAACCCGCATTCGCGTTACATTTTGAGCTATTTATACAAGAAAAATAAACACTTATCAGATCTTTACTCATTTATGCATTGTGACAAAAAGTGGTTTATATAAAAAACACTTATGTATTAAAAGTGACAGTGCATATCTTTCTGTTAACTGCTACCTTTACCTTTCAAAATGCACTGCGTATTGATTTTAAATCCAAATATAAATACTATTAATTATTATTATATTTGATATGTTATGAGAGATAGAAGTATCTGTTTTTTTTTTTTCAAAATAAATCATAATATTAAAATCCTTGACCTACCACTACTTGAAAAAAAAAAGAGACAGTTTCAAGGCGATCTAATAGGTAGGGTAATATGATAAAGATGCATTTTTGGTGAAAAACGTTCTACTTGTGGTTACTTAAATCTTTAACCACAAGAAAAGTTTTCCATGCAGACGTGTGTTGGATTAAGATTTGAAATATTAATTCTTATAAAATATAATCATTTTTTTTAAACAGAAGAAAATCTATCGGGTTGTGAAATGAATCCTTGTAAAAATGGTGGACTCTGCCGTGAAGATTCTTCTGATTCCAGTGTGTTTGATTGCGAGTGTCCTCATGGCTTCACAGGAACTCGATGTGGAGTCAAAGACAACTGCAGATCAGATGAAGACATTGCTTGCAAGAAAGGTTATTGCTCTTATTCAGAAGACATATCAATGAGAAGTTGTAATTGTTTCTTTGGTATGTACTGGGATGACATCAAGAAAGAATGCAAAAGTAAGATTTATTAACTCATTTTTATTAATTTTACTGAAAAATCGAGGTCATCGGCGTTTTACCACTTGCCAGCGCAAAAAGTTTTTCAGAATTTTTTAGTCTGCCTGTTTTTTTTATAATCAGCCTTAAGCTTTTGGGCATATTAAGGTGTTGTGAGAAGAATTTCTCCATCAAAGAGGACTTTCCATGACTTATTGCAACGAACCTTTAAAAATGATATTTAATATAAGACTTCCCTACACTGAAAGTTTTTAGTAAACTATCTGAATTAAATTAGACTGATTTGAGCAATGAATAAAATATTTACATACTAACGTAATGTTATATGGTTTCATTGCAATGAGAATTAGGAGTGTTATATTGATTAGAAAATGCTAGAAAATTTTATAATACGCCTAGCGGGTTGAAAAATCATGAGTTTACCTCAGTTTAAGGTCAATTATTACAGAGATGCCAACTTGCTCCGGACAGAAAATATATATTATAAAGTGGTAGTTTGTCAACTGTGATTCTTGGCTTAATAAATTCAATTTAGTAGATTAATATCTACCACTATTTCTATACAATTCGTAGCATTATATAATTCACCACTTTAAAGTACTTATGTCATTCGATCATTGGATATCGTTGAGTAAGGTTGTATTATAACCGAGCTCCTGCTACGATGGCTTCACATAGATTTGGCCGCGGAGGGAAGGCTTTCCGATCCTCTCGCTTACCGAAAATCGATCCCACAAGTATTCGAGATGAGATGAGGAAAAATGCCCTCAGAGATTTCCCAGGATTAACAGATGAGAAGATAGCAGAATCAGAAAGACTCGCAAAAGGATGTAAAAGACAATTAGATGAAGCACTTCTGAACAATGAACGCATAAACGAAATGCTGTTGGAAAACCTGTACAGATGCATCTACTATGATGAGGAAATCAAAAGCCTGATAGAATCCCAGAATAAACAAGCGGACCCTCCTATGGAGACTACCGAACCAGACCCAGTGCCGGAAACTATAGTCACTCCGACAATAACCCCGGCTGACCCAAATCCTGTATCAGAAGANAGTTTAAATTAAATATTATCATGTTTTTAGGGCATGAATCTGAATTGAACATCCTGATAATGCTCACTCTGGTTATTGTTTCCGTTTTTAAAAGCGCTATATGTTGAGCCACCTCAACTAGATTTGGCATGTGACATTTTTAGCAGCAATGATTGGTCGATTTTCTAACGTTGCCATTCGGGGAGTTGTAATGAGGCTTTTTTTTTTGGTGCCGTGTAGGAGAAATATATACATAGATTTTGTCTTGTCCGGAGTAGTTGGCATCTCTGCTATTTTAGAGCATTTCTTTCATTTTACGATTGAATGCAAATATAGAATATTTTATGAATGGATAATTTACAAAGTAAATTATAATGGTAGTTACGATTCAGTGATTAAATAAACATAAATGAATTGAGTTTCTACCACTTCTTACATTTTTAGTCGCCTTGTCACCCTGTACTGAATAGATTAAAAGTTGCAGACAGTCACACGAGCCATTTTTTTCTATATATATATGCTTGTGTCAACCATATACTCTATTATTATTTTTTTTTATTTCCAATGGCACATTAAAAGAGAATTGAACATCAAAAAGTTAACAATAAATCTATAAATAAGAGCGAGCAATCCAGTAACGCTCCCAGATAGATTTCCGAGGGAGAGCAGAGCACCTAGACAGGTGAAACAAGTCCATTACCTCGTGGAGGCCACACAATATACAGAAGGGATCATGAACCATGTTGATGCGACATAGATGTTTTTTCAGGCAATTGTGGCCAGTTATCAGACGAATCATGGCAACAGATTTCATCCTAGGCCACTGAGGGACATTGAGAATCTGTTTAAGCCATGGTTTATTGGAATTACGATTTTTGAGTTCGTCATGAAAAGAGGCCCTGAAGATGTTCTTTATGAGACTTTTGATATTATAGAAAGGGAGTCTGGAATTAGATCTCTGTAGGACAGAGGCTCCTTTTTTTTTGCCAGGAGATCGGCCGCCTCGTTTCCCTGGATTCCACAGTGGGCCGGAATTCACTGGAGAGCCACTATCTTGTTATTATTGGTAAACCATTTGAGGAGATTTGAGCAATTACCGATGGTTAAAGTTCGAGAGCGGCTGGGAGAAGCCTTGGCTAGGCATATACTCCATTATATGCCTAACCAAGTGATTATCTTTTCACTTTGAGTAATTTCAGATATGATAAATCAGTGAGAGCCTACCAGGGCCGGTATTGAGTAACTAAAGCAATTCTAAGTCTTATATTGATTAAATATGATAGTATTACTGTTAAAGCGAAAATAAGTTTTCAAATTAGCATTTTCTAGCATTAAGCTACCACTTTTTATTTTTTCCATCCTGATTTTGATTCCGTACAATGCTTTTATGTCTCGCCCGTACTCAAGAAGTTAACAAGTGTCGGTAGTCATGGATATTTTATTTTTCCTGAAAACAATGTAGAAAATAATCTGGAAACAGTGTTACTAAAAACGTGACAAAAATATTTAAGCGTTAAATACATGCAAAAATTCATGCAAGTAATTATTTTTTGCAATTTTCCTGCGTTTTCTTATGCACTCGTGAATTTTTTAGCACCCGCAACAGATATTATCATTACAAGACCAAAAGACGATATTTCAAATGTTACGGTAACTGATACTTCTGAATCTGATACAACTGTTACAAATTTATCAACTCCTGATGAGGAAGGTATGTATGTTGACAGCATGGTGAAAATGTTTATTTTTTCTTGATTATGAAAATATTTTTTAAAAAATTATGATTTTAATTAAAATGTACTACATAAGAGTCACCTGACTACAACTGAAATGTTGAACATTTTATTATTTTATGGTAATTTGTGAAACAAACATTTACAATATGTGTTAAAGTAAAATGCAATTTTTCAATAACTTCTCAAGTGTATTGAATTCTGATACAATAAATCCGTTACCAAAAGTAGTACTCGTCAGTTAAAATCTTATTGAAACATAACAAAGTTTTAACTAAAAAAACCTAGTCAAAAGCCTAGAACCTAATCGGATGGGTTGAAATTTTTGGCCAGTCAAGATATGGACCCTAAATATTCAAGTTTATTTATTATTTAAAAAAAAGAAAAAGAAAACCAGCATGAACGATGTGTATTCGTGGCCCTATGGCTACGAAATCCGTCTCAAATCTAAAAGAAAGCAGGCTCTACCTCAGTTTGTAACAGTTTTAATCCTTCTCTTAATACTGAAGAATAAATATTCTTTTTAAAGTATGTATGCTAAGACAATTGCTGTGATTTTAATTTAGTAAACAGTTATAATTTATTTATCAACTTTAAATGAATATATTTTCTTTTCGTTAAGTAGGAATTTTTTTCATTAAAAAATATTTATTATTCTCAACTCGTTCTCTGAGTTAGGAGGTCGATGTTTCAACTTTTAGGTCCCTGATGCACATTCATGTATGCAGTTTTAAATTTTAATAATAAATGAACTGAAACTTCGAGAGATCTTGTATGATTTTGATAATGCACTTTAATTTAAACTTCGTTAAGTTCAATAGAAACATTACAGATGTGTTATTTCTAATGCCACTTGCCATATACGAGCTAGCCTACTTGGGGAAACCAAACGAATTTAAGGCAGAAGGTGCATTTCTTGTTTTTCATCTATAGCCACGAATACGACTTAAGCCGCATGCATGTCACAGCCCGTTTATAGGACGAACCATTCATACATCCATTTATTCATCCGCAGATCGCAATTTTGACCTGAACCAAAGAACGAGCTATTTCCAATTTAGTTCCCCCAGAGGTATTGATTGGTTATCGGAGCATGGAAGACGTTACCGACAGATTTAACATGCACTAGTCACCAGTTACTACACGGGGAGCCTTCGGCCGTCCGGGATCGAACTGACGGCTTTTTGGACATGAGTCCAACGTCTACCAAATAGGTTATCCTGGCCTTCACAGATGTGTACTATTGTATATTTTATTTTATTTTGTAACCTTTGTTGAACAGACGACCTAATTTTTCGTTTCTACGACTACTAATGTTCAACTCCGTAGCCTTGTAATTTTGAACCCAATCCTGAAGACAAAGAAACTCCTGAGTCAAGTGTTGGGAGAATTTCGCCATCGTGGTGAACTTTTTGATGGAGCTAACTCACATTCACGTTGCATGGAGGACTGTGGGCGGTGCAAGCCGGATGCAGAATTCGTGCGAAGCGGCTATAGCTGGGATTCGAGCTCTCGTTGAAACTCGAACCCTCTATCCCATAAGAACTATTATATAGTGGAAAATTTATATAGTGATAGTATCTGAAAGATATGCAGATCATTGTTCAAGTTCGCCAACACTGTAAAAGCTTTACCAGCAAATAACTGACTCACTATGACATTAAATATATTAATTTGAATTATTTTTAACTTTTGGGTGAAAAACTACTTAAAATTATTAAATCGAAAATTATAAATTATACTATTAATTTAATTACCTCTGGAAAAATGTTCGCTACAAATTGGAGCAAGTTTTCATCTCTTTTATTCATTTATTTAAAAAAGAAATGAAGATGTTTTGCAACTAGTGTATTTTTCGGAAAATGTAAAGCACAACTGGCAATTGTGTAACTAGAAAGCATCATTAAGTAACTATACATATTTAACCAGGATAATTTATATCTAACGAAATCTCTAATATTGTACTTAAACAAAGGGCATAATTAACAAGCAAATTTATACTAAGTTTCTTGCTGCCAAATATAAATTTTTTAAATCGGAGAAAGAGTTAATACAATTTTCTAGATTTTAATAATTTTGTAAACACCACTACACATTATTTATATTTAAAAAAAATCATTATATATTTATTTTCACTTCAATTGAAACATCCCTTTAAGACCTGGATTATCTTTAATGTCTTACATCATTCTTCAAAACAAAGTAACTTTTCTAGCGCTTTTTTCATTTCGTGTTATTTATACTTTATAGTTTTATTAGTTTATAGTTTTATTGGTCTATATATAAAACACTTATGTACTAAAAGTGATAGTACATATCTTTCTGTTAACTGCTACTTTATCTTTAAAAATACACTGTGTCTAGATTTCAAATCAAAATATAAATACTATTAACTATTATTATATTTAATATGATATGGGAGATAGAAGTATCTGGATTTTTTCAAAATAAATCATAATATTAAGACACTTAACCTACCACTACTTGAAAATAAAAAAGGCGGTCTTAAGGCGATGGCGGACCTAATGGGTCAAAGGTTTCTTTCACCAATCAATTGCACTTCGATTTATCATACATTCCCACTCAGATGAATTAGTAGTTAATAATTTCGCTCGATTTCAACTAAAAGTATTGCCGAGCTATTTAGGAGGTTGATTTATGATTGATTAGGTTATTTTTGGTACAAAACATAACCTCATTCTCTGCATCAAGTGTATCTCACAACCTCAAAGCACCTAATTTTTTTGTGAGGGACAATTTACTATTTTGTTGGATTAAAATTTGAAATATTTATTCGTGTATAAAATATAATCATTTTTTTAAACAGAAGAAAACATTTCGGGTTGTGAAATGAATCCTTGTAAAAATGGCGGACTCTGCCTTGAAGACCCTTCTGATTCCAGTGTGTTTGATTGCATGTGTCCTGATGACTTCACAGGAACTCAGTGTGGAGTCAAAGACAACTGCAGATCAGATGAAGGCATTGTTTGCAAGAAAGGTTACTGCTCTTATTCAGAGGACAGATCAATGAGAAGTTGTAATTGTTTCTTTGGTATGTACTGGGATGACATCAAGGAAGAATGCAAAAGTAAGATTCATTTACTCACTTTTATTAATTTTACTGAAAAATCAAGGTCACCGGCATTTTGCCACGTGCCAGTGCAAAAAATTTTCAGAACTTTTTAGTCTGCCTGTTTTTTTTTCGTGTTTTTTATAATCAGCTTTAATGCTTTTAAACATATTAAGGTGTTGTGAGAAGAATTTCTCTATCAAAGAGGACTTTCTATGGCTTATTGCAATGAACCTTTAAAAATGATATTTAATATAAGACTTCACTACTCTGGGAGCTTTTAGTAAACTGCCTGAATAATCAGACTAATTGAGCAAAGAATAAAATATTTTCATACAAGCGTAATGTTATATGGTTCATTGCAATGAGAGTTAGGAGTATTATATTGATTGGAAAATGCTGGAAACTTTTATAATGCGCCTAGCGGGTTGAAAAATCACGGTGGCTGGTTTTAAAGAAGCTAGATTACTTGAAAAACTAATGATATATATTCCTCATTAAAATAAAAAAGAAACTTTAAAGATACCACTCTTTCAGTACGAAAAAATTTTAATAATTTTATCTTTTAGTGTAATCTGCTTAAATCGTTTCAAAGTCTGTTAACATAGCATTGCGTACCTAGTATTTAAATACGACGGTGTGTGCTTCTTGTAACAAATAGAATCCATTGCAATATTTTAACCTCAATATTTGTATCTTGGGTTTCCGCTATGTATTCTAATCCTGTGATTATCAACCAGATTAATTCGGAGGACGAATAAAACAATTCAACGTTTTGTCGCACATCGATAAGGTTGATAATTGGGACAATTGCAGGTATGTCAACCGCTTTCTGAATAAGTTTTAATAAACTGGTTACGAATTAAATAGAAAAACTTGTATAATAAGGATAATACCTACTTTATAAAAGTATCACACAAAAAAAAAAATACTTAAATGATTTTTGACCAGTTTGTTTCCGATTACTCATATACCCTTTAAATCGAGAAATATTTTGAACTTTAACTTCTTTAAAATTAAATTTATATTAATTTTGATACACGAATATTTATTCTGCTATTCAATCAACAAAATAGCAAAAAAAGAAACCAAATTTTACGGGCATGTCCAGACAGTTAAAGGATACAAGTAAACACGAAATAACTAAAAAGAAAACAATCAGAAAAATAAAAGACTATCAAAAAATAAACATCTGAATTTAATGTGATTGCCGTTCCTATTTATTGCTGACTATCATGTCCATTTTGGGTATCAAACTGGTTACAGGTACGGTTGAGGAAGATGCAAAATTAAGTCGATTTCGTTTCGTTTTAATGTGACACTCATAGCTGAAAATGTAGTTTCCTGTACTGCGACTGTACTTTTTGATTTTACGTATTTTGCTTTCTGTTAAAGCAGCAGCATAGGACTTTGTTGAGATTGCTCTGTTGTAATAGATGGCATTGTTTTCAGTATAGTTAATGTAATTGGGTTTCGGTTCGAATTGGGGATATTTGACTCACTGCTTGTAATTTGTTGGCTGGGAGCCTTCACAGTTTGCGCACTTTGTCGGTTGATCTTTCGGTTTAGCACACTGGAATGAAAGATGGTTCGTCGTGGTTACAAGTTTGCTGAGCTTGAGTGAATTGCTGCCTGCGAAAGCACTGTGAGTGACGCATGGCCTTCCACGATAGCTCTCAAGTTTGATGATTTTGTCTCTTTTTTATTTAGAAAACAAAATGACATCATTGAGTATTGCTATTTTATTAGATTTTTTTTAATGAACAAAAGTATGCCCGAGTATCATATCAGACATCTACTTTTCAATTCTCATATCCTCTTCAAATCTAATCCCGTCCTTGACATTGAAAAGCCTATTGGTTCATCGCTCTTTATGGAGCTCCCATTTCCGATTATAAACGAGCCAGTTTCATCAAACATTGAGAGATGAGACCCTAATTAGCTCGTCTTCAAAACTCCCTCGCTTTTCCGTTATGAAAAAGAAGAATTTAAAAAATGCAACAATGATTCGGTAAATACAGTTTGGTTTCTAATACAAGCGAATGTTGCATGAAGTTGAAAAACAATTATCAATTTAAATACATACTGAAGATACTTATTTCAATTTTTAAATAAAAAAAAATTTTGTACGATTGAAAGATTGCGTGAACAAGACAAAATTAAATTTTAAACTTACTTTTAATGTTTAGCAGCACTTTTCATTACCTTCCTATATTAAAAAAATCGTTTTTTGCAGCCGTCATCACCGTTTCAGAGAATTATCAGCGATCGTGTTTTTCACTGACATAACTGGAAAACTATTACATGAAACTAAATGAGATTTTGCTCATTTTTAGAGAACTGATTGAAGAACATTCATATATTAAAATGTGGTTGGCTGTTTGGTTCTAATGCCACTTGCCACACGGGCAAGTCTGCTTAATGAAACCGAGCAAATTTAAGGCAGAGTGTGCGTTTCTTGTTTTTCATTGGCGCCATCTATGGCCAAGAATTCGATTTCTGCCGCACCATACGTCGCACCCGTTTATAGGGCGGACCCATTCATACATCCATTCATTCATCCACAGATCGTAATTTTGACCTGAATCAGAGAACGCTCGATCTTCAATCCAGTGCCCCCAGAGGTATTGATTATAGATATTAAAATGTTTTTGATGCGGATATTATTTTTTGAAATATTTACGTCAAATCTGAAGATTTCCTTTTTGTGTCGCATTTAGGGCATATTTGTCATATTTAAGATAATTAGACCTAAAATGCAATCTCCTATTTACTTCAATGCAACACTGAATTTTTATTGACATGTGTCTGTCACTACAAATTTTAATCCTTTTCAAATAGCTAAAATGCTTAAGTTTTTAATTGTTTAATTTTCCAAAAGACTAGAGTTTTCATACGTATTATCGTTACAAGATCTTCACAAAATAAAATGGTGGTCACAAATGTAATGCACTTGAGATTTGTTCCTTCTTCGTTACCACTATTGGATATTTCTAGATCTGTGGGAATTCTGTATTGTATGGTAGCTAAAACGAGAGACACTATAAATTAAACGAAAAACTATATACTTCTATTTTTTATCCTCATTTAATTTTTCTGTGACTCATTATTGTTTCGAAATAAAGTCTTTAACATGTTAGATGTATGTTTTATCATCTTATAGATTCTGAACCACCCTGTTTTCCCAATCCTTGCCACAATGGGGGTGAATGCAATATTGATAAGGATAGTGATTTCAAGTGCGAATGTCCAATAGGATATGAAGGATCCACTTGCAGTATTAAGAACAATTGTGGTGATGGAGATGATTGTCCTGGTGGTCGATGTGAAAGAATAGAAGAGAATAACTTAAAGATTTGTACTTGTTCTGAGGGAAAATATTGGAATGAAGAGGAACGTCGTTGTGAAGGTAATAGGTTTTATATTTATTGAAACTAATTATGATTGTTTTCATTAAAAGTCGAATTTGACTTTAAATTTCGAAAACTTATTTATTTATTTTCGTTTAAATAATACTTATACTGCAGACGTCACTGGAAGAATAACCTTTCAAAACATAGCAGAAATATTAACTTACAAGAGAAATATTTATGTCTCCCTTAACAATCGGACTAAACTTTCTCTGAGAAACATATTTTAATGTTAGGATAATAACGTATGTATTATTTCAAAATAGTATAAAGTTATAGTTTATAAAAAAGTAAAGTTTTTACACAAATTTAAAGTAAATTTCGATTTGTTGTCAAGGAAAATTAGTTACAAAGTTAGAATTTATCACCAGCTTTTATTTCCTGAGAAGCGAAAAGTATCTATAAAGTTTATTAAAGACTTGAATTTTTGCACTAACTTAATGCAAGCTACCATTTTCTAAGTCATTTAAAATATTAATTTTTTTCTCCATTTTTTGAGGCTAAGTTTCTTGAGTATAATGATTGTTTAATAGGGATAATTTTAATTTTATTTATAGTATTTATCCTAAAGATTTGGTTTTGAAGAAAACTAATGAGAATTGCTTAAATGTTGAATATTTTAATTTTAAAATTGATATTGTTGATAAAATAATCGAAATTGGTGTTTTTGATAAAAGGAAAGCTTTTAAATTTAAAGTTATTTTTTTCTGAAACTTTAATACTAATTTGTGTAATAAAATTTTTAAAAATTTAGTTTTTTCACAATTGGTTAGGATTAAAAATATTTGCAATAACGTTGAAAGTTTTCAGGAGGCTGTGAATAATTTTTTGAATAATTTGAGTAATAATGATTTTACTTTTAACCTTTGTGAAGTTAATTTTTTGATTAAGAAAATGATTGAAGAATGCTAGATTTTTATTTCTTTTAACAGGGCGCAATTCAAGTCTTAACTGAGCAGTCCCAATTAAGCATTATATTAATTTGTTACGTAATCTTCTCTTTTACCTCTCTTTTTTTCAATCTGTGCATTTTAATAGTGGGCGTTGTTTTCTTTTGTTTTAAGTGTTTCCTTTGCATTTAGTTTGCTTGTGAAATCGCTGTTTGATCGGTTTAATGTGAGTTTTTATTTTCTCAAGTTTTTGTTTGAATTTCTTTTCTGAATTGGTTTCATGTATTTTAGGTATTTTTTCCTGGACTTATACAAAACCTTCGGGGTACTGAGTGAGTTACTTTTGGCATTTAATTTTGCCTCTCTCTCAATAGAAAAGGTTTTGTTTTATGGCTTCCGAGGCCGGTACCCTCTGAAGACGTCAGCTTCGGTGGTCATATTTTTATTTTCATTTCCTTCGTTTTCTTTATTGCTACATTAATTTATTAGCTCATTCGTTCTGTTATAATTTTTAATATATAATGAGTTTTCTAAATTGAAACTTTAACTTTATTTAAAACTCTTATTTTATATCTCTATGTTTCTGACAATTCTTTTATATACACTTCCTGCTTGGTTCTATAATACAATATTACTTTATTACAAATCAAACTTTTTCAATTTAAATTAATAAAACATAATTTTAATTAATTTAATTAAAGCATGAATTTAATTAATTTAATTAAAGCATACATTTAATTAATTTTAATAAAACATAAATTTTACTACCAGTTTAATTAATCAGGGAAATAATATGGTAAAAAATATGAAACCTCATATAATTGCTTAAAATATTCTCATTAGTATCCTTCATTAAATTGCATGCACCATTTTCTGCAATCTTCAAACATTAATTTGTTGAAATTTGTGAAATCTTTTGCTGAGAGCAGAGCATTTGATATCCCTGACATCTTAGTTTTATGAGTTAATATTAAAGGAACATTTTATTAAAATATTGCTAGATATAGTTTCTAAAATTGAGTAACAAAATACGAGTTGCAAATTTAACGCGTTTTAATTAATGGCCAAAAGTACGAGTGCGAAGTTTTAATTTTTACATATATTTATTGTATTTTAGATGAAAAACTTCCCTGCATTCCAAACCCATGTAAAAACCATGGGTTGTGTGAGATTGTACCCTCTGGTGACTACTCCTGTAATTGTTCTTATTGTTCAATTGTTCTTATTATTGTATATTAGATGAAAAACTTCCCTGCATTCCAAACTCATGTAAAAACCATGGGATTGACATGAGATTCCACCCTCTGGTGATTATTCCTGCAATTGTTCTTATTGCTAGTATAGTTCAATTGTTCTTGTATTTTAGATGAAAAACTTCCCTGCACTCCAAACCCATGTAAAAACCATGGATTGTGTGAGATTCTACCCTTTGGTGACCACTCCTGCAATTGTTCTGGTCATTATTTGGATAAGGACTGCAAACAAGAAAATACGTGCTACAATACACATGGTAATGATACGGAGTGTGGAAATAAAGGAACTTGCAAATTTAAAGAAATCTCATCCTATTGCGATTGCATTGATGGATATTACTGGGATGCTGAAATGCGTACCTGCCGAAGTAAGAAACAATTTTTTTTTCAATTTACTTATTGAAAGATGTATAAAAAATTCATACAATGCAAATTCGAATTAATACCCCGCATTATTATAAAAACCTTAGAGCAAGTTTTTATTCGTCTGAACGTGCGCACTAAGAAGTTGCAATTCGTCTTGTCATTGATTTTATTGGCATTTATAAACGTTGGTTAATGTAACTGTTGTAACTAGTGTAGATGAAATTAGATGTATCTAACCTATTGCACACTAAATGGTTGTTATTCGTCCTGACATTGGTTTAATGAGCATTTGATACTGCTGGTTAATGTAATTGTTTTAACTACTGTGGAAGCAATTAAATGCAGCTAACCTTTTGCGCATTAAAAAGTTGTTATTTATCTTGTCATTAGTTTAATACAGAGTTGAAGCCGATGGCTAATGCAATTCCTGTAGCTAGAGCTTGAGTAGTTTGGTGCAATGTTTGGTGATCCTAAACTTTCGCACATCGAATTCTTCATGGTATTTAGTCAATAAGCCTTTAAAATCACTGATTAATGTAATTCGCTTAATTTCCCTGCTAGCGATTTGGTGCAAAATTTGATTAACTAAATCTATTGCTCACTAAGAAGCTGTTTGGCTTGCACGGCATTTGTTCAATAGGCATTTAAAACTGTCAGTAGTCCTGTATTTACTGGGAGAGTAATTTGTGGTTACATTTATGACCGATTTTTAACTTACTGATGGTTATAATATACACATAACCAAATAACTACGTTTTTGAAAGTGTTGGTTATCATCTTTCAAAATGTATTTAATCTTGAAATTAATTTTTGACTGACGGAAAAATTACAAAACTGCTGAAATACGAAGAGTTTTGAGCAATGAAATTTTCCGGAGTTGTTCAGAGAAATACTATTCCTAGAAAGTTAAAACAGAAGTGCTCTCTAATTTTTGATTGAAATAAATCGCAAAATTTGGATGAATGCTCGCCAAATGTTTTACCCCGTTAGTGCAGCGTTCGAACAACGCCTCCTATAACTGAAAGCCTCCACACTCTTGTTTGTAGGTAGTCCGATCAGACCACTATGAACCATTTAATATGAAATCTATTAAAAATTAGAATGTGGTAGAAAATATATGTCTAAAAATTTGTTTTATTTATGAATAGTATTGGTTTGCTTTATTCACTTGTCAACCACTACAGATTCAATTCTCAAATATATATGATAAATTTCTCTCAATTACTTTTATAAAAGGTTTTGGGTTCATGCGCACAACTGATTCACTTTTTAAGCAGTCTGCGCGGACTACTTATAAAAGATCGTGTGGAGGGTTTTTGATGTAGGAGGTGATGGTTCAAAGCGTTCTTTTGAAAAATAAAAAAAGTGGTAACTACTTAGTCCTTTAAATTAAAAGTATTTAAATATAATTTCATTTTTAAAAAAACACACATACGTCAGTTTTGGAACTTCTTGTAACTATTTAACATCTTATTGCTTCCCGATATTGCATCACATAAAAATAAATTTAAAAAAAAATAATTTTTTAACTTGTTTTTAATTTTTAATTGGATTTTGCAACCTATTGATAACAAAGAAAATTTCTTGGACATATTCAATGGCAATTAACCCAGAATAACATCACGTGATGCATACCATAGATCGGTGGAGATAATTTAATTGATTTATAATTTTTGGCGAAAATAAATTAGTATTAAATTTTGAAGAGTATGTCCTGGAATTAGTTAAAAGCACCTTCTTAGGAAATTTTAAAAATGAATCAGAATTAATAAATCTTTTGTGCATCTGAATTTCCCAGATATTGCCTCCTTATAAGATTTTTTTTTCGTTTTTTTGCGGAATCATTATTTTTAGCCAGTCTTTTTAAGTTCTTAGATAACACTAGGGAACAAATGTTTTGTTGCATTTACACATACATTTGATTTAATCTAATTCGGGTATGGAATTGGACAAATCTGAAAGGACTTTTGCCTGGAAAGCATCAGATTTGTTTCAAAATGTTGTTTTTAGTTTAGTTTAGTTTTCGTCTGAACATACAAGCTTATAAAGGATGTATAGGTTTATACAAATGCATGCAATACACTTGCCTGTTCCCTTGAAAATAGCATATTGAGTAAAAAAAAGCACATGACCTTGACAAATTGCATCATGAACTGAAATGTTCTACCACCTTCTTTCCACCAATTCTGACGTATCAAAGAAGTAGAGACGCATAATCACTGGAAAGAATTTTAGAAATTCCTGGTTAAGAATATATTATTGAATTGCAGAAAAACGGTAGCTTCTTGAGAGAAACTGATTGCAGATTTGAAATCAGTGATGTTAAATAGCTAAGATCCGTTCAAAAATCCAATGCAATAGAAAAAAGAACTGCTCTCCCTTAGTGTAATACCATCTCCGGAGCCAATTTGGACAAGTTTTTAAGCTAAGGTCTTGTCCAATTTCTAAGCAAGGTCTTGTGCATACAGATCCTCATTCGATCATTCAAAACTTGCAGAGGTTTCAAAAGAATATAGAAAAACTAGTCATAGTTATTCTTTGTTTTGGTTTACAATAAAATTTATCTCATTGTTTCTTCTTGCAGAAAATTTTCCTCCTTGTTATCCAAATCCATGCGCAAATGATGGCCTTTGCAGTAGATCCAATCATACGTTCCATTGTAAATGTTCCGAGGAATACACCGGTGTACGGTGTGAAAATCCAGACTACTGTGTCCTTCAAGGTGGTAATGTAGTTTGTGGAAATGTTTCCTGCGTAAGCAACAGTAAATTAAAAGCATTTCAATGTCAATGTGAAGAAGGATTTTACTTTGATTTCGGCAAAAGGACTTGCCTTGGTAATAATTGATTGAATTCATTAAATTCACTTTAACGTTCGGTATTCGAATACGAAAAGTGTTTGAATTCATAATTTCTTAACACCAGGTTTACGAACGTTTCTTATGTACCTATCTCTACGAACACGCGTCAATTTGAAGCATGAACGAATACATATAACAGCACTTACAAAGATGCCAACTTGTTCCAGACAACAAATATATATTTTAAAGTGATAGTTTATCAAATGTGATCTTTGTTTTAATAAATTCAATTTAGTCGATTTTTATCCACCACTATTTCTAAATAATTCCTAGGCTTATATAATTCACCACTTTTAATTATCGGAATTCATTTAGCAGTTATTTACCGTATTTTAAATTTTGTTGGTGTGTTCGGAGCAGTTGGCATCTCTGTCCTTAGTAAGCAATGTAACTATATACTATAAGAAAAAAAAGTGAAAATATTCTAGTATTTTGTTTTTCAATACTCAAACTAACAACTGAAACCTTCAAAATCTGACATCAATTGACATTCAGCGTTTGTTCTTTCTATTATTACTTATCGGCAACAGTTGCTTATCTCTTATTTCATTTGAGATAACGATATCGGATCGAAGTATTGTCGGTACATTCCTATTTATTATTGATGTGATGTTTGCATGCTTACTCATAATTTTGACTAAATTACGATCGCGTCAAATTGACGCATATCCGTAGCAATAGGTATACCACAAAGAGAATTTCAATATTTCAACGCTTTTGAAGAAAATAGACTTCAATATATATTTACCTCTATCAATGGATAAAAGTCATTACAAGAGATAAAATATAAATGCAAACGGGTTTTGTAATTTTCCTAATAAAATTCTAAATGCGTCAAAATGACGTGTCCCGTAAACCTAATGTTAAGCAAGCTAAAGCATTTCTTATGCATTTTGCTTAGCAATGAAAACTTTAAACCTACTTATCTCAAAACTTGATTTTTTGAGTTGTGCCGATATTGCAGCCCGTGGTGTCACGTATCCCACAGGTCTAAGAAAATGTTAATATTGATATCGAAAAGGAGAAAAACATTGATCCTTTAATACATTTGCGACCACCACCTTATATTTTTCAGTGCTGTCAACTACTATGCCTTTGTAAAATATTTTGTAGACTGGTAGACAATTAAAAACTAAAACTTTCAAAATTTTCACTAAATTTGCCAATTTTTTTAAAGTTTCACCGCGAGAAAGCTGAAATGGCTTTTTATATGAACTTTTGAATCATTAACATGTTGTTATGTGGATGATAACTTTAAATCAAATTTACCAAAACAAAGAATAATACATTGAAACTTATACTTAGCTATCACTTGAAGAAATGTTTTCAAAAAGAGTGAATTGTTAGCAGGCGAGGTTATTACACGAAGAATATATAACCAAGAAAACTGCCCCACCGGACCGTTAAAAGTTTATCCTATCATAAAAAAGAAAATTCCAAGTAGCAATAACCTCAATTTAAAATTTCTTTCATTATTTCTCAGACTCCTGGGAGCGCAAAAAATGCAATTTAATTTATCGAAGCAAGAGTGTGTTCTACTTAGGAGATTCTTTTTTAAAAGAAAGAGAAAAAGAACTAAGCATAAAAAAATGGAAATTATTTTATAATTTTCGCTGTTTTAGATCTTCAGATGAATTTGTTATCTAATTCTCTAAGGGCTTAACATTCTCTTTTACTAAAATTTTTACATTATATAGGAGAAGGTGGGGTTCTAAAAAAAGATTCGAAAGTCTGTTGGAGTTTAACTGCTTCGCCTAGATATTAATTGTTTAGTTGTATGCAATACATAATTTATAAAAAATAATAGATGAACTATTTTTTTTATGAATGATTTTTTTTTTTGAAAAAGTCGAACCACCCGGTTTTACCCCACTGATGGGATAAAACTCGGTATGCATGTTAACTCTATGGGAAATTTAGGAATACTGGAGTTTCAGTGAAAAAGTAGCAGGCATTTCTATTTTTTATGATAATTTAAGAAATATATGCATTTAATTTACATGTGATGCAGAGACGGCGGTAATCAAGAGGGAGGGGTAAGAGAGGTGCAGTTTTCCCGGTGACCCCTCCCTCTTGATCTTGGCAGTTTTCCGGAAAGCCCGACCAAAATTCTTTACCAAAAATAGTACGCTTATAAATGTTTTTATTCCAAACGAAAATGTTTTTATTCCAATTTTCTTTATATCCAAATACGAACTACAATTTTGTGCTAAAGGTCTTCAAAACTTTTACAAATATGAAAGTAAGACTTTTTGTGCTTTGAGAATGAGGCCCGTAATAAATTTTGTCCTTGGACCCCTAAAACCTTTGTTCAGTATTGAATGTAGTTATTATCTTCCTCTACTGCGCTCAGCTTTTGTGGGATCAGCATTGACACAGATCAAGGGTGATGACTCCAGATCTGATAGTACCCAGTTTTACTTTACACTACCAGTGCTACTTATCAGGTTAAATCCTTTTTAAATGTTAGGGTATGAATGTTTAGTAAATGTGTAATTAGCTGGCCTAAAACTGACTTTTATTATTCTAATGACTAACAAATAAGAGTATAAAAACCAAAGGAGATTATAGAGCAGACATAATAAAGCAAATTTATCCACTTAAAAGTCGTAAACTTATCAACAACACTCTTGTATGGTAGATTCTTCTTCTTGACTAGTAAAGTGTATATCAGAGTTTGTGTAATTCAGAGTTTTTACAGGAAAAAACTAATTTCGCTAAAATCGAGGTAACCGATTTTTCAGAGATGCCAACTTGCTCCGGACAGCAAATATATATTTTAAAGTGGTAGTTTATCAATTGTGATCTTTGTTTTAATAAATTCAATTTAGTAGATTTTTATCCACCACTATTTCTAAATAATTCGTAGGCTTATATAATTCACCACTTTATAGTACTTATGTCATGCGGTACTTTTTAAAAAGCAAGCAAAAATAATGAAAAATTTGTAAAACTTACTTTAGTTATTTACCGTTGTTTTAATTATTTTGGCGTGTCCGGAGCAGTTGGCATCTCTGATTTTTCCTTCCCCTACATATGGTGTAATGTATACTTTAGTCGAAAATTATAATTTTCTGTTATTGTTATTACCTTGAAAAGTACTCTAAATTTCGACTAATCTATCAAGTTTACTTTAATTTTTCTTCATTTCTAATAATCTATTTTATGATTAATTGAACATTCATTTTTTATTGAGCATTATTTTAATCCATTACTTAGCGCATAAAATCTTATTCACAATACTTATTAGTTCAAAAATTATATTTAATTTCGATTTTTTCTGTTGCATAGTTAAAAAAACAGATTTCTTTCACAAATAAAATATTTTTAAAATAACACAAAGCAGAAAATTATTGAAGAAAAATCCAATTACTAGTTAGTAATTTTTAATGCTTCTAAGACTCTCTCGAAATATACAGTTTTTATGTCAGTAATTATGAATAAATTGTTAAAATAAACAAATTAGATTTCTATTGAAAGTTTCATGTAAAATATCTAGGTTTGCATACCAACTTCGTCAAGCTCCGTCTTTGCTCTAGCTTTTATTGCTACTTATGCTAAATAAATTATTTTAAGTCGTAAAATAGTGCTGTAACTTTGTTTTACAGGTTATTTAAGTCCATCGAATATCTGTGCTAGTATGATAAATATTTTAAATTTCAGAGATTGATTTCTGTCCTATCATGATGTGTGGTGTAAATGAACAATGCGTCAACAGCAAATGTATTTGCCAAGACAATTTTCAGAGAAATAATAACACAAACAAGTGTGAAGGTAAGTGTATTTTTCGTACAATATATTCGTACAATATATATTAATAATTTCGTCATTATTCGAACCGTCAGGTTCTTAAGGAAAGTTTTCTACATTGATAGTGAAATTAAAAATTAAACTTCGGTTGTTAATATAAAGTATTTCTCGCAATTGGAGTCATGAAGGTTTACCCAATCGCGTAATCTGATGAGACTTAATAATTTCGAATATATAAAAATCGGTGACCAAAATATTTTGCTGTAAGTCTATTTCAGAAAGATATAATGCATTACTAACTACCACATGTTATGAATGACAAAGAATTTAGTAGGTTAGATTTGGTAACAAATCAACTAAAAAGCTTTCGTATCATTCTTAATCCAAAAAACAACCAGTTTTTAAATTGGCTGCTTCCTCTTAGTTCAGAACTTAGATAAATCGAACTATAATGGGTTAGGGCTCTACAATTTCGAGCCCAACGCCATGATTGTGGTAATATGGTCAGGATTACTCACAGGCCGCTTTTACTTCTCAGACAAGCTGGTACTTATTGGTCTGAAGCAGAGTAGGCTTCAAGCCATACCACTGAGAATCGAATCCCAATCTTTCAGTGTCTATTTTTACGAATAAGTGAAATTGCTCGAATGGCAAAACTCCTCAGCAAAGCTGAAAAACTGATAACAATATTGTTATTGGTTTTTTAGTTATTGTTATCAGTTCTTTTTGTCTTCTCTTAAATTCTTAAAGTTTATATTTTCAATGATCAGAGCTGTTTGTATACCGGAAACGAAAGAAAATCTAGAAGTAACTTCCGTAGCTTATTTTCACAAGAAATTAATGTTCGTGATTACGAAAACTTATTTGCATTTATTAACAGTAGGAAACAATCTTGTATAGAAGATATGGCTATAAATAAGCCTTGTTTGGCAGAGTTTTTCACAGCTCTGAAACCCTATACATATCTTGAGACGAAAAAGCTCAAAAACTGGTACGAAAGATCTTTTATTCCAGCATTTTTTTTCCGCGAAAAATTTAACTACCCAGATTTTTTTTTACGATTAGAGCGTAAAAAATTCGCTCAATTGCTATCTAGGTCATATTAAAAATTTAAAAAAAAGTGATTTTTTTAAAATTATTGTAACGAAAATATACAATGTGAAATGTATTCTTTCTATTGTAGAAAACATTACTATTGTTGTAATTATGAGTTATAAAAAATATCGAGTAAATTTAGTTTTGTGCAATCAGAGTACATTTCAGTTGATATATTCCAAAGCATATATTTTATCTTACATAATAAGAATCTTAATAATAAGATAAATATGAAGATAGATTAATGTCTCTTTTTTAAAAATTATTGCAGCAAATTACTGTGCTGTCAACCCATGCCCTATAGATGATATGATATGTACTGAAGGACAAGGAATCAGGGATTTTTATTGTTCTTGCAAAGAAGGCTATTCGTTCAATGGAGCTCATTGCGCAAGTAATAGCATTAATGTAACAGAATCATAACACTATAACACGGTGATGCGAAGATTTTTTTTAAAAATATGTCTGTTTTTTCATTTAGATGCGGTCTGTGTATTTCCATCATTCAATGATTGTGACCAGAAATGCCGTCTATCAGAAGAAGAATTCAATTGCAAATGTGATTCAGAGTTTTTCATTTTAAATGAGGACAACAATACTTGTAGTATGTAAATTAATTACTATCCTTTCATTTCGTAATAATGTAGATTCGGAACAAATAGTTTTATATCGAAATGGAAGCAAATAATTTAAATCAAATAAGAACAAATAGTTTTATATCAAGTAGGAACGGGTTGTTTTATATAAAAGAGGAACGAATAGTTTTATGTCAAATAGGAACAGATAGAACTATTTGTTGTCTTATTTATCACCAAAAGCTACACTAAAAATTAACGTTTCTTACGTGTTGCAAGAAAGTCAATAAAAAGGATAAATTTTTCCATAATCTAGTGGATTTATTCTGAGTATAGGTTATCGTGTTGTCAATCTAGCTTGAGCTTTTTCTTGGGACTGAATTGCAATTTTCCTTAATACTAACTCATATGCAGCTTAAGCCGAGTGTTAATTTTTTTCTCATTTTTTTAATAACTATTTTTTTTAAAAAAGAAAAAGATGCTGAAAGGTTTTAAAAAAACAATCCTAGAGAAATGGGACAATATTTATACACTGATGCCAAGAGAGACTTACTTTAATTGAAATTTTTCTTTCTAAGTTACTCAGTTAAGAAAATAAAAATAAAACAGTGGTACATTATTCACCTTAAAAATTATGTTCTAAATTCTGCTTAAAATTATTCTTAAAACTTAAAAAAAGGTCCTCCTTGCTGCTTAAAAGAAAATATTGAAATTTTCAGACTTAAGAGCATTTTTATTATCACGCGAAGAAAAAAAAATATAGTAACATTTCCCTACTGCATAGTAATACTCGTATTACGGACGAACCAACTTATTGTCTCTAAAAAAACAATTTTCTTACTGGCAGTATAGTCTTATGGCATGTATGAAACTGAATTTTAAAAGTAAAATTTTAATTTTTCTTAACGTCAGTGATAAATCAATAAATAAAACTTGCGTTTCTACAATATATTTGGCAATTAAGGTTTTAAGTGTCAAAATGTTGGCAAAGTTGTTGAATTTTTTTAAAAATTTTTAATACATCAAGTTTATGGTGTATTAAAAGTTACACAATTATTTTATGAAATCTTTCTCAATGACCGTACAAGTAAGTAACTGCGTTATTAATATAATATGAAAAAGTCGATTTATGAGTTTTAGAAACGATGATACTCCCTCCGTCCCGTATTAGTTGCTACATTTAGGCCAAACATTTTGTTCAAAATTAATTGCTATATTTCAAGTAGGTGGAGTCATAATTAACTTCCGATACAGTTCAGTAGTTTGACGTTAGTAAAATTTTACTACCAATGAATTCACGATTCATTTGAAAAAGGTAGTAATAAGCGAAGTGGTGAAAGAATTCTCCCTAAATGGGGCGTGGCTTAAGATCGTGTGAATCCTGGATTTTTTACAGGGTTCCAGCAGTCCTTGAAAAATTATAATTGAGGTAATAAATTAAGGTTAACGCTAGAAGATATTCCTTATTTTAATATATTACTTTGTCGTTAAGTGAATCAAAAGCTCGAAATTTTCATGCATATATACTTTCCTTGGTAAACAAGTTTTAGTGGTGGTTACAGAAATTAAATTATCGACATTCGTTTAATTTTCGTTACCATTTTTTAACATTTACAAGGCCTACGTTAATGCTGTTTTAAACGAACTTAGTACTGATTTAAGGAGGGAATGCTTAGTAAGTTAATGTTGATGATTGATAGCATAGTACCCTAAAATCTCTGAAAAATGCTCGAGCAAAATGATAAAATCTTCAGTATCAATAAGCAGTACAAAAGTATAAAAATGTTGCAACTAATTTGCGGCAGAGGGAGTATTAACTATGGCGTAATTAAAAGCATATGCATTTAAAAATTTAAATCGAATATTTTTCTTTGTCCTGTTTATTTTCTCTATTGCATATCAAGTCTAGTTATAATGAACTTGTTAATTTGATCCATTTCAATATGACAGCTTACACTGGAAATTCAACATGTTCAAACAAGACCTGTGACATGGGAAAATGCTTTAAAGGGGATAATGATGAAGAAACGTGCGCTTGTCCTCCTGGTTACACAGAAGAGGAAGGGAAGTGCATAGGTAATATTTTACTCTCTTTGAAATTAGAAAATATAATTTAACCTAATTTCAAAAATACTTACGTAATTACTTAAATTTTAAAAATCTAGATTTGTGCAAGGCCAATAAAGTGCCGGAAGGGATCTGTCCAGACAATCAGTGTGAAAGTACAAAAAATGGTTTCAGGTGTAAATGTGAAGGGAAATATCAGCTATCCAAAGATAAAGTTACATGCACAAGTAAGTTCCGTAACTTTCATAACGCTGTAAAACATATTTTTTGTTAATTTCAAAAAAGTACTTTTTAGCTCCTCTTAGGCACCACTGTTACCTGTAAATTACATAAAACTTTAAATTCCATTATTTTTTTTAATCTTAATGTCTAGTGATCACTTTATGTAGTAGTTTTCAAGTACATAGTAAGAGTGCAAAACGTAAGTTTTGTTTCACCACATAGACCGCTAACCTTAAGGTTTTACCACAAATATTAAAAGAAGCATGATGGATGGGAAAAGGAGGGGGGGGGGGCTATGCGCGACTCAGGTGCCCATCTCAAATTTCAAGACAAGTAAGTTTTGTCTCATGAATTTTTACTGATTACGTCCTCTTTTTCTTTTTTCTTCTTTTTTTTTAGTCATCCTGGAGAGAACACGGAGTGTAAAGGATTAATTCTGTTATTTGATTTTCAAATGGTTTGATTTTATAGGTTAGACTATTGCTTTTTTAAATTCAAAAGAAAGTTTTAAATTTTTCTCTGCGAGGAACTAAAAGCTAATATGATGTTGGTAAGAATTACACTGGAGAGCGAATTTTTTGTTGCATTGATACAAGTATTATATCCAATTCGGGTGTATGCTTTTTTTAATAGGAAATTAGTTTTGCTAGATACAGATTTTTTTAAGGCTAATTTTCAATTTTTTTTTAAAAATCAGAATAAGCAAGTTTGTAAAGAACATATGGATGCGCTGACCAGTGTCGACCAAAAACTAAAAAAACTGGTAGTAAAATTTTGAATCGGATGTATGAAAATTCTTTGCTTTATTTTTCCAATTAGCCGACCAGGTGGCTGAGTGGTTCGCGTGTTTGACTGCGGAGCCATTGGCCGCGGGTTCGAATCCTGCTCTGGGCATGGATGGTTCTTTCTCTCTCTGTGTTCTATGTCCTTTCCTCTTTGTGTGAATGGGACCCGCCCTATAAACGGGTTGGTGGTTGTGTGACGTGGGCGACGCTGTTCCACAGGTGCCCACTGGGTAAGGAGAAGAGAGTAGCAACTCTGTCATTTCTGTGGCCAATGGGACAAACCCCAAGTACCCGCCATTAAAAAAAAATTTTTTTTCTTCCAATTATTAAAAAAAATTGTTCTGTTTGGGAATTTCTGCGAGGAAATTCTCTCAGATTGTTAAATTGGAAAGGTAAAACAGTTTTCAAACGTCCGTTTAGAAATTATATTATCAGTTCTTCAGTTTTCGGAGGAGACTGGTCAGTTTAGTACAGTTGGACATATATAAATATTTTCTTATCTACGGATTTGAAACTAACAATTAAGATAAAAATCATAAACTGAAATGCATTTCCACCTTCTTCCTACCACTACTAACGCAGCAGAGAAGTGGGAAGATTTAGTATTCACTTACAATTTATTATACCAATTGGCAGCTATATTGATGTGTCATAACTTTTATAATATAATAAATAAAATATAATAAATAAAATATAATAAATAAAATATAATAAATAAGAACCTTGAAAACGATGCAGTGGATGTTTTTTTCTTCCTATGTCCACCAGGAGAAAGATCTTTCGTCATACAGGCATCTGAAGGGCAGATTTGTTGGCCACTCTTTCAGGGGCACCATATTAGGTGGGCCATCGTTGCTCCCACAGTAAGGACAGATAGTACAGAGAATGAAACAGCATCCATGCCTTGCCCCGGGATTCGAACACAGAACCTTTTTGATGAAAGACCAGTTCCTTGACCCCTACGCAAACCAGTCGGCATGATGTGGATGTGTGATGCCGAAATTTGAAAATTTGCTAAATTACTTTACTACTATTATTATTTTTCTTTGCCTCCACTGTGAAAAATCCTTTAAAAAATCGTTAATTTGCAGCTTTGCCATTGGTTTACATTTTTCTATTCTTTTGTTTTACTTTTATAGGCTTTATAATATCAAGGAATTTTTTTAAAAATATAGTTTAATCATTATATTAGTTCCTTTTTGTAGGAACAAAACCGCACATGTTGATGTGTTACGTACAGGCAATATATGCTCCATTTACCCAGCGCCTCCTACATCAAGAAACCTCCACACGTTCTTTTATAAGTAGTCCGCGCAGACTGTTTAAAAAGTGAACCAGTTGTGCGCATGAACCCAAAACCTTTTATAAAAGTAATTGAGAGAAATATATCTTATATATTTGAGAATTGAATCTGTAGTGATTGACAAGTGAATAAGGCAAACCAATAATATTCATAAATAAAATAAATTTTTAGTCATATATTTGCTACCACTTTCTTATTTTAACTATATTCTGTATTACGTGACTCGTTCAGTAAGTTGATATCCTTCAGAATGGTCTGATCGGACTAACTATAAAAAACCGTGTGGAGGCTTTCAGTTATAGGAGGCGTTGATTTACCACGGATCATACATCTGTTGGTCATAAAACTCTTTCATCTTGCGTATTTGTAACAACTTTTTGACTTCCCCCTAATGCATTAAAATTTCCGTTTTTTCTCCTATTCGATGTATCTTATATTAAAATTGGGTAAAAGTTTTATTGGGTAAAGTACGTCAAAATTGATCGAAACACGAATATTTAAGAAAAAAATATTTAGCCGAAAACTTTATCTCAATTCATTATCTTAAGTCTGCAAAAGCGACTGTTTTATAGTGTTCTTATCTACCGGTTTCAACTGGCCAAGTAACTAAAGTGACTGAAGAGAATTTATCTTATCACATTTCACTTAGTTAAGGTACAAAAGAGGACAGGAATAAGCCTTAGTTTCTGTAAAAAGATGAGTTTTGTGCTTATTTTCATGTTTCGCAAATAGGACGCAATTCCAACCGAAATTATAATATTTTCTAAGATATGTCGAGTCGAATGTTTGTTTAAAGCCACGCATAGGTTTATTACAGTGTTTTCCCACATTCTGTGATTGTCTTGCTTCCAACTGAGAAAGGCTTACCAATATCATGGAAACGCAAAAAGTTTTTTTGTTAAATTTTTAAAAGGATATTTGGAAACTTACTGCTCTAACTTTTAAATTAAAAACAATCGTTTCTATTAAAGAATATCTGTTAGAAATTTCTTTTCGTAGACTTTTAACCCTTTGGCGCTAAAGGAATTCCGGTGTTCCTTTTATATGTATTTTTTTCTAATGTTCTAATTACAAGCAAAAAGATATTTTGGTATTTCTTAATTGTAAAAAATAGTTCAACAGTTATTAAAAAAATCTGTTAGATACTCAGAATCGCATTTGTTTTAAAATATGATATCCAAAAAAAGACTAGTTTGAAATTTCTTGTCATTCATATTCAAAAATTTATCACCTAAAATTTATCAATAATTGTTTTAGAATAATCAAGGGAATTTCAATGATAAATAACTGTTTCTCTTAAATCTAAATAATTGCAAACAAGTGCTAATTTGAAAATTTTTTTTTTTGGAAATGAGTCAAGTTTGAAAATTTTTACTTTTAACAAAAGTATGCAATTAACGGTGCTATATTTCATAACCGAAAATTATTAAAATGATAAATGTAATATTTTTCACTTATTCTAACGTAAATTAATACGAAATAATGAAAAAAAATGAAAATATGTATGAAAATTCTATGTCAGAAAATTTTCATGAAACATATTAAAATTGGAACGAAACTAGGACTGAGTTATTGAATGTCATTTTAGAAGCTGCTCTAATGATTTTTCAGAAATTCCGCGACGCTTGCAATTCTAAACTGATATGACATTCATTTAGAACAGAGGGAGGCTAATGTGGACAGGACCTTGAACTAGTGTACACAAATAGAAAATTTCTGTTACTTATCCCTCGAAAATTCTCAGTAAATTTTGGCAAATTGACCAAACTGTGTAACAGTTTCTTACGTAGTTACAAGACGTAGATAAAACGCTAGATCGTTAAGTATGAAAAGCAATTTCTTAATTTTTGCTGCAATTGCAAATTTAGACTATTCTCATTCATAGATTTTGACAATAGGAGAATGGATATGATTAATTCATATGTTATGAATGAATATGCTTATAGCGTATGTTATGAAGGAATATGCTTATAGCGTATGTTATGAAGGAATATGCTTATTGCTTAATTTATGAATAAATATGCTTATTATATATTTTTGATAGTCACTATAGCTATCCATTCATTTAATTAACGCATAATAACAGCTTAAAAGAACGAAAGGTTACACGGGGATAGTATGAATACGTAATAGTGAGGCTACTATGGGTATGTTAATATTATTAGGTCGTTCCATGATTTTTGGAAAAATTCTATAGGTTAATAAACGCCAAATTGTTCGTTGGGTAGGAGGTATAGGTATTGTTTGATTCTGGCTTAAATATCTTATATCAAATAATTTTCCGATTGAACTAAACAGACTGATCGATCTACAACTGCCCGGTTTGGATTTTTTCTTATTAGACTTAAGAAATACGAGTACAACAAGTATGGCTGATTTCCATTCATCATACCTACCATTGTTAGATTCGTTGTTATATTGTTTTAGGTATCGCAGCATCTTATGAAATTGCAGCATTCGCGACATCATATACTTAATTGAAAATATCAAACCTAGTGGGAATGCACACTTATTGAAATTTATTTTATTTTCATAATTTTGCTACCTTTTTCTTTCAATTTTTCTAAGGGTCGTACATACTTCGCAACAAATCATTTATTTTATATTACAAATTTTAAAACGTAAAATAAATTTTTCAACTCTCATTAAATTGAATGCAGAATGTCTGAATGGAAAATTTATTATATATTTTTCTAAACGTTATGAAAAATTTCAATAAATTTAGTAAGTTAAATTGTATACACAATCTTTAGTTACAACTCTATACATCTTGCTTCAATGTTTTTTTTAAAATCGATATTGGTAAATTTGCATTTTATAAATTTTATTAGAAAAAATATAGCTTTTCAAAAAACCATGTAATTTTTCTAACGAATGACTTATTTTTATGATGAATTGAAAATTCTAATGAATAAAAATTGTTTATTCTTGTGTTGAAAGTTTTTGTTTTGTGTGCCAAAAAATTCTGTCAACGAAAGAACGCGTCTCAAAATACACACATGAAAAAGATGCCTTTATGAAACAAAATGGTAGGGCATTTATCCTGAAATGTATAAATCAGATTCACAGCTTAGTTCTGTTGGATAGAGGTTGAATGTGCATGCACATTCTCTTTAGCGCCATATATTCCGTGTTTATATAAACTAGAACATTACCAATAAGTTTATGGGCAAATACTCTACGATTTTCTTTTCTAGAAGAACCTTTTGCATTTCTGTAAAAGGAGGCGTATACTTTAGGGGACAGAACTCTCCGATAGACCTAATATTAAATACTCCAATTTTAAAAAAAGAGATTTATAAGTGGTGCATTCAGCAATTTCTAACAATATAGGTCAAGATACTATAAAACAGAAATAAATTTTCACAGATTTTCTTCAGAAATCTAATTTTTTTTAAAATCAAGCATAGAGGAAAGATTATAACTAAGAAGTGTATTTAATATTTTTTGTTTGTAGTACGCAGAACGTGCCAAAAAGATGCAATAGGATGGAAAGCATGCTCAGCTAAAAATGCAACATGCATTGAAGATTGGAATAGTGATTTAGGGTACGCATGTCAATGTACATTTCCACAAAAGGAATCAAATCAAGGCATTTGTCAAGGTAAGATAATTTAATTCTTTACGGAATTAATAATTTTTCAATTTCAGTCAAAAAATATTCCACAAAAAATATTTGAATTTTTGAAGTGAAAACGGAAATCGTGCAAGGAAGCCGATTTTCCACGCTTTTTGGGAAATAAATTTCTTCTAGTGATTGCTGTTTACGTTTTAATGTATGATTCTTTGTTCAATAAATTTGATTTAGAGATATATTTCTCGTCAACACATGTAAATGATTCAAAAGTATATAAACATTTTAAAAATCCACATAGTATCAAATGTACGGTTAACAACTTTCTACGCTTTTTTTTGTGGAAAATTTTTCTAGTTGTAGCAAAGTTTTTGTTTCGATGCACCATTCCTTGTTTTGTTAATTTGGTTTCAATTTATTTTCTACACCACATCATAAAAATCCTTCAAAACTTCATATGAAATGTCTATTTTATCAAACTGAATTGAGTTGAAGCTATTAAAATGCTGGCAAAAATTCTGAAAACTTTAGTTTTTAATTGTCCTCCTCTCTACAAAATATGTTGTAAAAAGGCTAGAAATTGGTAACCTTTTAGACATTTTGTGGTAGAGCTTTTAAAATATTGACAAAATCAACCAAAATTCTGAAAACTTAAATTTTTGAAAGCGTTATTATTGACAGCCCTGTTCTAGTAACTGATACACAAAATTAAAGTAAAATGTATCAAGTTTTTTTTTCCTGTAACAACTATTCGATGTGTGTCGATAAACATCTAATCTGTAATCAAGTTCGTTTCATGCAATTCTTAGTTTCCAACTGTCCATGGTATCAATGCTGCAAAATCGTGTTCTTTAAGTTCTTGCAACATTTTTAGCATCGGTTTTGGCATAAATAGTATCTTTGACATAACCCTTTAACCGCCAAAAAGACAAAGTGAATTTTCGCCCTCTATTTATCGTGCTCGTGATATTTCCGGGCTAAAGTAAAATGCAAAAAAGATATAAACAATCCATTTCTTATGTTCGGAATCATGTTTATTTCTCAATACATTAGACTGCTGTATCAGACTCTTTGAATCAGCACTCATGAAACATGTAAGCCAAAAATAACCCAAGAATTGAAATTAATTTATATATTGTACATACACTTAATTTTATCAAATTTTCTATAAAAAAATAAGTATTTTATGACCGTTTTCTTCAAAATGATAAAACCATTAGATGTTAAAAAATTACATAAAGCTAAGGTCTAGGAATTTTAGTAACCATGTGATTAAAGTCACTGTCATCTACATATCTAAGGCGAGACTGGCCTAGATACACCATTAAAACACTACAGTATTAGTAATCATTGGTATTGTCAAACTACAAAACGCACGCAAAAAACTGGATTAGTTTTTTCCCCCAGAAACTTAAGTTAGATTTTGTAATTACTTGCAACTAAAAAAGAACTGCTGGCATTTTTCTTTAATTTCTTACATCATTCATTGCAATATGTTTCAAAAATACAAATATTTAAAATGATAAGAACAATATTTATGATAGATAAAAATTCCAAAATAGTTCTTTGAGGCGTTTTTTTTTTCACAAAAAAATATGACGTGTCAGCTTTTTCGATAGGGGGCATACGTATATATAACATAATTTAAGAGTATAATTCTTTGCCCCAACTAAACAAGAAACTTATTTTTTTGGCTATACAATCAGAAATTTTATGAAAGAGACTATACTTTCTAACAGTTAATATTTTTGATTATAACAACACAGATAAAATGATAATAAGTGACGCTCTTTTTTTATCTTTTCCAAATACATTTTTTAGATAAAGTGTTTGTTATTTCTTCGATAAAAATACACAGCTCAAAACAATGAAAGGATATTGTATGTCTCGAATTAAAAAAAAAATGGTATGAGCAATTTTTTTTGTGTGCATAAAATGGAAGAAGATAGTCACAAACGCGAACTTTTCTTATTTTCAAACTTCGCAGTATGGAAATTTTGAGTTTGACGTTGAAGACAACTCTATAGCGACAGCGAATTTTATTTGCTTTTCAGCTTAATGTGAGACAAAAGCGGAAAAGAATGACCGACATTCATTAAGCGCGTTGTTTCGATGAGCGATGTCTCAAAGAAGTCATTCAACAGAATCATAAGCTTGGCGAGTTGTTGGCCGGTTAGAAAGGAGCCAAACACAAGCGAAGTAGCAGAAGCCATTGAAGTTTCACAAAGTGTGATTTCCAGGATCAGGAACCGTTTTTTGGAGACTGGAAATGCAGACCGAACATCAGGGCAAAATCTTAGACCTTCAACAACGCCCAATGAAGACGGCTAACGGCTCGGTGAAACCGAAATATGAATGGCACTCTTCTTCAACAACACCTTCACTCAGCTACTGGCACCACAGTTTCGACACAAACTGTCCGAAATCATTTTCACGCTGTAGGTCTGTATGCTCGCCGACCAATGGTGTGTGGCACGTTAACAGCAAGGCACGGTCACGCCGACAGGGAGTGAACTGGGAGAAATGAATGGTTCAATATTCTTTTCTCTGACGACTCTCATTTTTCTATTTATCCTGATAATAGACGCATTTTCATCTGGAGGGAGCGTGGTACTAGAAACAATCATGCGTTCGTGCACGAAACTATAAGATTTGGGGATAGGGGAGTGGTGGTCTTTGCTGATATCTCCATTGATGGGCGCGCCGATCTCCATATCATTCGAAATGGAACTCTGATCGGTCGCCGATATATTGATGAGATCTTGAGACCTATTGTTGTCCCTTACTCTACAGCAATTGGGGATGACTTCATGCTAATGGACGACAATTGCAGGCCACGTCATGCTAACTTGGCGAATGCTTCCCGTTTGGAGGAAGAATTCATACGAATGGATTGGCCAGCGTGCTCTCCAAGCATGAACCCAATCGAACATATTTGATACTTTCTAGGCAGACGAATTCTGGACGCTTACCACCTCTTCAATCTCTCCAAGAACTGGAAAGAGCTCTTCCGGAGGAGGGAGATCGAATTTCACCAGTCCTTCATTAACAACCTCATTGACTCGATGCCTCAAAGGTGTTCAACGTTGCAGACTGTCCTGGGAAACCATACCTTCTATTAAAAACACTATTTTATAAATAAACACCCTTTTTTAATTTGTTTTTATCATATGCACAAATTGTGTTTCTTCCTTTTATGCCCAATTGCTCAATAAAACGCATTTTTTTTCTGTCAAACAGATGTCATTTTTATCTCATAGAGCCTACTACGTCTGTGGATAATGTATCAATCATTCAAACAATTGTCCTGGTTCAAGATAAACCCACAACTTCAATATTCTTTAATTGTTTCGAGCAGTATATATGCACAGAAAATCTACAGAAGCATTGAACCGTTTCCAGTTATATAGTCATAGAATCCGTGATATTTTCCATGTTTTGACGCAACTGAAGATTTAAGTCTTATCTATCCGCCAGAAAATTAAGCTTTAAATATTTTTTCTTTAAAATATGTAATCTAGTAATCGATTTTTTGCTTAAGGTAATCGAGTTTTGCTCAATGTAATCAATTTTTGCTTAATATATAATCTAGATCTAGATCACAAATGTGAAAAAAGTAAAATTCTTCCCATTTCTGCAAAGAATAAAAATCTATAAGACAAAATAAATGTCATAAAATTATCTAAAAGATTACTTAAATCATATTTTTTCATCTTTCCTATAATTTTGTTATTGTAATATAAAGATCTAAACATCTAGGATTAAACCAATTATACTTTCAGACGTGCCAACTTTTAATCCCTTCCATTATCATTTTTCCCAGTGGTATTAAAATGGAATTAAAACTTCAATTTTAAGCAAACAAATACGTTGTATTTGAGAAACCTTAAGATGACAACCATGATAGTAACACATATTAATATATGTGCTTAATTTTTGTAAGAATAGTGGTGATCAAAATCATTTAAAAATTAAATTTATAAAAGAAAAATTAGTATATATTTACTACCACTTTAAATACGAAAATAAAATCTCCCGCAAAATGCGGGAGAGTTGGCAGGTATGTACTTTCCATACACAATCGCTTTGTGAAGGCATATAAAAAGAAAAACAATTCTTAAAATATTATTTTTAAAGTGATAATACTGTATCAAAAGTTGTCCAATTTATTGGAAGCTAGATCTCTGGTGCCGGCAGTACAAATGAATTAGTTATGCTTGCTGATAAAATTTTCAGTTTTGTTTTTGTTTCTATAAAGAAGCTAACTTTTTGTGCTCTTTATGAATTATCAAAAGTTTAAAATATTCAGAGCAACCAATTTTCTGCTCTTCCCGGCAATATTTCTAAAGGTAGTTACGTTTGTGTTTTATATTAACTTTTTATTTTGTAACCGGCTTTGAACAGTCGACCTGATTCTATGTTTACGGCAATCAGTCATCAACTCCGCAGCTTCATAATTTTGAACCCATCTGAGATGACAAGGAAACTCTTGGATCAGCATTGCTACCTCTGAGGATATTTTTCGTCAGCATCAGTTAGTGCGATCCGGAGCAGAATTTGTATTAACTAGCTACCACTGGGATTCGAGCCCGATCTTCTGAGCCACTGCGGTTCAAGTTTATGTTTTAATGTATAGTTCTTGGTTTGGAAAATTTGATTTAAGGTTATTTTCCACGCCGCTACACGTAAAAGATTCAACTGCTTTTATGAAATGCTAGTTTGTTTCAGCTCTCTCGAGGTAACCTTTTAAAATGTTGGCAAAATTACCAAAAACTCTGAAAACTTTAGTTTTTAAATGTTTATTAATCTATAAGATATTACGCAAAAAGCATAGTAGTTATTGGCAGTCCTGCATAAATAAAGGCGATTCTTCTTCTTCAGGAGCGCAACAGCCCTTTGCAGGCCTTGGCTGCCTCAACAGCACGCCTTCTCCAGCTCCCTCTGTCCATGGCAACTCCCCTCCAGTTCTTAAGTTTTAGGACTTTGAGGTCGTTTTCGGTGTCGTTGAGCCATCGAATAGGTGGTCTACCTCTAGAGCGGGACCCCTGAGGGTTCTTGAAGGTGGCAATTTTTACAGGGCTATCCTCAGAGCCTCTCCATATAAGGCCGAGCCATCTTAGTAGGTTGCTTCGGATTATCTGCATAATTTGAGGATGTTTATAGAGCCCATAAAGTTCAAAGTTGTACCGTGTTCGCCAACATCCTCCCTCTGGTATGGCACCAAAGATGGTTCTAAGTATCTTTCTTTCAAACGTTTCTATCGGGTGTTGGACGTCAAGGTTTAAAGTCCAGGTTTCGTTTCCGTATAGCAAGACAGGCAGAATGAGTGTCTTATATAATTTTAGTTTTGTTTTTCGGCTAATAAAATTCGATCTTAGTTGACTTTTTAGTCCAAAAAAACATTTGCTGGCCATATTGATTCTATTGTCAATTTCAGATTTCAGTTTGTTTTGGTCATTAATAATTGCACCAAGATACTTAAATTCTTTAACCTTTTCAAAGGAATGTCCGTTTATCTGCAAAGGTTCACTATAGTTTACAGTTGAGCTTGAAAACTCAATGAATTTGGTCTTGTCTTTGTTAATAGAAAGGCCCATATTTATAGCAGAGGCCTCTAGGGCTTGAAAGGCATCTTTAACAGCCCGTTCTGATCTTCCTATGATATCAATGTCGTCCGCATAAGCGAGGATTTGGAGAGATCTGTTCCAAATAGATCCTCCTCGGTTTTAATCCGCTATCCCGAATGCATTGCTCCAATGCCAGGTTAAAAAGCAGACAAGCAAGAGAGTCTCCCTGACGCAGGCCTCTTTCAGTAATGAAAGGTTCAGATAGATGGCTTTGGATTTTAATCCTGCATCTCACATTGTTGATAGTGGCATGGGTGAGACTTACGAGTTTTGTAGGGATTCCGAACTCGTTCATCGCTTCAAGTAATTTATCTCTTTTAATGCTGTCGTAGGCAGCTTTGAAGTCTATAAATAGGTGAAAAGTCCTGATGTTGAACTCTTTAGTTTTTTCAAGGATCTGTCTTAGAGTATGAATTTGGTCAATGGTAGACCTTTGAGGCCTGAATCCACATTGGTAATTTCCGACCGCTTTATCAGCAAAAGGCTGGAGCCTTTTGAAAAGAATATTGGAGAAGATTTTATATGCCGTATTGAGGAGTGTTATACCTCTGTAGTTACGACATTCAAGTTGGTCTCCTTTTTTAAAAATAGGGCAGATGGAACCTTCTTCCCATTCAATGGGTATATTCTCAGTGTCCCAGATTTCAATTAGGAGTTTATGGATAGCATCTATAAACTGGGGTTCGCCGGTTTTAAGAAGCTCAGATGGGATACAATCGGGACCAGCCGATCTGTTGTTTCTGAGTTTTTTAATAGCCATTATCACTTCATCGATTGAAGGTGGGGGGTTATCTACATCCCTCAGTATGGCTAGATCTACTGGGTTGTTGCGAGGGACAGAAATATCATCCTTGCCTACTAGCAAGTCTTGGAAGTAACTCTTCCAAACTTTGGTTACCTCTTGAGGCTCACTTACGAGTTCACCTTCGTTGTTTCTGCAGGTAATAGTTCTTGGTTTAAACTCACTTCGCATATAATTGACTTTTTTGTAAAACTTCCTACATTCATTTTGGTTATTCATGGCTTCCAGATCTTCCAGTGATTTCTCAAAGAAGGCTTTCTTTTTTGCTTTATGTAGTTTCTTTTCTATTCTTCTCAGGTTCTTATATTGTTCTTCAAAGAAACGTGTGCGATGTTTCTGTATCATTAGTCTATATGCCTTATTTTTTTCCTCAGTTGCCTTATGGCAGTCTTCATCGAACCATTCGTTTTTGGAAGGACGCCCCAGTTCTGGAATAGTATCACTTGCAGATTTCAAGACAATGTCTTTTATTGTATTCCAGTTAAAAACAATGTTCGGTCTTCCTTTTTCTTCAGAAAGTCGGTTGGATAGCTTGATGTTATACTCTTTAAGAATTTTGTCGTTTTTCAGTTTAGAAATGTCAAGTTTAAAGTCCTTGTTTTCCTTCTTTTGATAAAAACTTTTACAGAGTCGAAGTCTCACTTTGGACACGACGAGTACATGGTCTGTATCTACATTTGCACCCCTGCAGCTTCTCACATCAAGTACATTGCTGCGGTGTCTCTTGTCCACAAGTAGATGGTCAATTTGATTATGTGTAGATCCATCTGGGGATCGCCAGGTGTGCTTGTGGACTTCTTTATGTGGGAATGCTGTGCTAGAAATAAACAAATTCTCTGAGACTGCAAGATCAAAGAGTCTCTGTCCATTTTCACTGGTGTAGTAGTGCAGGCTTTCAGCACCCGCGTGGTATCTAAGGTGTTGCTCTTTTCCAATTTTAGCGTTGAAGTCTCCGATAACGATCTTCATGTCTTGTGCTGGGCACGAGTTAATGCTTCTCATCAACAGGTCATAGAAGATATCTTTTTCAGAAGCATCTTTTTCCTCAGTTGGTGCATGAGCACATATTAAGGTGGTATTGTAATGTTTTCCTTTTATCCTGATTTTACAGAGTCTCATGCTAATAGCCTGGAAGTCGATGACAGTATTTCTCAGTCTTTTGCTCACGACAAAACCTACACCGAATTGGTGAATTTTGTCCTGGCAACTGTAGTATATTCTGCAATCCTTTTTATCCATAATTCCATTGCCCAACCATCTGATTTCTTGGATTGCGAGGATGTCAAGTCTGTAGTCAACAAATACATCTATCAGGCTCTTTAATGCTCCAGCTTTATACAAGGTGCGAATGTTCCATGTTCCAAATCTCGAGTCCTTTTTCGTTCCGAGTCGTCTGGGTGGATGTGAGCCGGGTTTTGCATTTTGTTGAGGTTTCTTAACTTGAGTTTTTTTTTCCGGGGTGGGGTAGTTAGCCCCACGCCCAACCCCCAACCTGGAGGACCAAATAAAGGCGATTACCGGGATTTTTTTAACAGCAGATGGAACTGTTTCTTAGCCTAAGAAAGTAAATAGTGATGAATAGTTTATAATGAAGAATAGGAATGTCATCTTTTTACACGTTGAGTGAAATTTCCTAAAAGGATGGTAATATATATTTTAATAAATGATTACATGCATAGATATTTTATTCATTCAGTAAAACAATCTAGAATTTAAATGGTTTAACTAAATTATTTTACTCTTACCCGATTAATCAGCCCTGTATAATAAATATTAATATGGAAATAACATTCAAACACCACATTCTATGGCTTTAGAAACTTGTTGACCGTGTCCTTAAAAGCAGAGATAGTCATTTATGGTTGAAGCTTTATTCAAAACAGAGTTTTATTAATTTTAGATGTTTGCAGCAATGAAGAATATCAAAGAAAGTGTTCAGCTTTAGGGGCAACATGTGATATTAATGCATATGGTGAAATAATATGCAAATGTCCTCCCTTATATCAACAGACGAAGAATGAAGAATTTTGTAATAAGCCTGGTAAGCATTTTATTGACTACTAAAGAATCTTTAATGAAATACGTTCAGTTTTCGTATTTAAAGTTAATGCGATCAAAATTTTTTTTTGCACGTTTAAGGAACGAGTTAATATTTAATATATTGTTTAAAATACAAGAAAATGAAACACAAGCTCCATAAATATGACCTAGAATGCTGGCTGTGACATCAAAATGCATTTAAACCCGTAATATCAATGCAAAAATATTTTTAATATAAAAATATTTGTGCATCGTATTTGTTTTTTAATATACTATGTGAACTCGGTAATAATTAAATGATACGCTATTATTTTTTAATAAAATATTTCCTGGTTTAATAAAATATTTTCTGGTATCTTGGCAGATCTTCAACTGATTGGAGTAGATTTTCAACTGTCTCGCTCCAAGACAAAATTGACATGTTCAAGTGATTTTTAAAAAAATATACGAATTAAAAAGTCCTACAACTTAGCCAACAAATTATGAAACAAATTTGATTTATTCGCAGAGTCCCTATGGAAAGCAATCTGTTCTGTTGTTGAATCACGAAAAGTAGTTACTACCTCTGCCGCAAATCAGTTGCAATATTTGAATAATTTTGTACTGATTATTGATACAGATGATTTTATTTCAAAATTCCGAGATTTCAGGGTGCTATGCTATCAATCAACTACGTTTGCTTACTAAGCATTCACTGTTTCCCTCCTTAACACGTTGAGCGCCGCGTCAGCCATCGGTGGCTGACACTGGACTTTCCATTTAGGTCACGTCAACCACCAGTGGCTGACACTGAAATTACATTTAGGCCGCGGTGGCTGACACGGAAATTACATTTAGGTTCCGTCTGCCACCGCTTGCTGACTCTGACCTTTCACATAGGCCGCGAAAAACAGCTGGCTGACAGCGTATAACATGATATAGAACTGTAAAATTTACTCTGTTTCATGGAATTGCAGAAAATTTATTCAAAATTTACTTAACTATTGTGATTCTCGGTTTAATAAATTCAATTTAGTAGATTTTTATCCACCACTATTTTTAAACAATTCGTAGATATATATAATTCGACACTTTTTAAAATTTATGTGTCATGCTAAACCTTTCATAAATTAGTAAAATCTGTCTATATTAGCAAATTTAGTTTGTAGTTATTTACCGTGGCATTCAACGTGTTAAATTAAAACCAAGCTAGTTTCAACAACTTAAAGTTTGCAGGCTAAGCCTTTAATACCAATAAAAGCATAATACTATTTTATTGTATACCGTCTCACTAAACGCATGCGCAGACAGATAGTGTTTTCTATACTAGGGTGCAAAGCAAGTTCTTTACTGCTCATACACCGGATTACTGTTTCCGGTGTATTTTAAAGCCACAGTTTGGCTCACAACGTTTTGATGTGTTGTGTTTTGACGATCATTGTGTTTTGAGACTATCTTAAGTAGTATTTCTTGTTTACGTGTATTTGTTACCTGATTTATTATTTGTGTTTAACACGTTGAATGCCATAGCGGTCACCGGTACTGAGTTTGTTAGTAGCGCCACTGGGGTCACCGATGACCGGCGAAGCCAAGATTATTGGAAACACATAATTCGAGTAAATTTTTAATATTTTTATATTATTATGGTTACTAAAATGGTTTGAAGAAATTAATGCAATATAGAACACACAAAAATAGTTTTATTTATATACACAGAGTTGTCAACTTGCTCCGGACAGCGAATAAATATTTTCAAGTGGTAGTTTATTAATTGTGATTNAAACAAAAAATCTGACATTCCGTAAAGCTCTTTACCACGTATATTTCCGGGTTAGTCTTTCAGGTACATTTCCACGGTATTTGACTCTCAGCGTGATCAGAGTGTGTTTTTCGAAAAACAGAATCGTTATAAACACTCCCTACCTTGTCAGCAGCCAACTTCTAAATTTAAACTCCAAATGATAAATTAAAAAATGAACTTAATTTCACTGCTTGGACATGATGGTGCAGCAAGAATTAACTGTAATAAATAAGTAAAAAGTGGCTTAATCACGACTTCTAGAAATTATGTTACCTTTCTTAAAAATGCGTTTATAAATAACTGAAACAAATTTTCACTTCAATCTCTCCAGAGTTGCTTAATATCATTAATATTTTATGAAATACAGCAAATATGAGCTTAGAAACTACGTAATTTATTTCTTTAATTAAAAATAAAATTATTTGTTTAGAAATATCGCCTCACAGAATGAGCTGTAGTAAGCAGCTGTATACGTTCTAACACAGTGGTACAGCTGAATACGTTCTAACACACGGCCCGAAGGCCACATCCGGCCCGTGAAGCCTTTTTTTGTGGTCCGTGAACTAATATTAGCTGTCATTTTTTGGAAAAAAAAAAAAAACGAAATTTCTTTGTTTCCGTGAAATTTAACACACCAACGGGGTAAAAAAATTTAGTTCTCAGGTAAAAACTTACTTCTTATTTTTCTTTGTAAGTCAATACTTTTGTTTTGTACAACTTGATAAAAGTCTGACAGTAATATTTAATGTTCCTTAAAACATAAAAGAGTGCTATATTAAATTTTGATGAAGTTGCGGCCTGCCATTTGACTGGGTTTTTTTTATTTGCGGCCTTACGTAAGCTGTTCTAACAAAAAGTAGAGCAACTGAAGAGCTCGAGATTGTTGTTGTTTATATTTATGTTGGAAACATCATCCATACTTGTGATTTGTGAGTTATTTGAAATGTTCTACAGTGGAAGGAAATTTTTTTTTCAGGAGCCTAATTTTGCAGAGTATTCATTTTTCATAATCTACTTCAATAAAAAAATAAATGAGCCGATCAAAAAATACAACTATCAAAATTTCGGATTTTTGTCTGATTTTCAAAATAATTACTCTAAAAAAGGGAAGGAGTTTGAGTAAATATTGTTGACTGATAGCATTTAAACGTTTCTCTTTTCAGCTGATGTTTCATATTTGATAACGATTCCACTTGATTTAGAATCATATAGAATTGGACACACCAGACAAGTGAAAAGGGGAAGGTCTTTGGATACTGATTACTCAGTGGATTACTTTCAAATACAATATGATGCTGAGGAAGCTGTAATTATGTTTTCCTCATAGATAATATTATAATGAAATTATTAAAATCTAAATCATATAATTCATTCGTGCAGCATTTTTTTGTTGTTGCAAGAAAGATTATTCTCCTTCGGTCCAAAATAAATTGCTAATTGTGTCCCAAATTTGATGCTACATTTCAAGCAGTTGGAATCATAATTAACTACCGATACACTTTAGTAGATCGACGCCATTAAAATTAAACTGCTAATGAATGTACAATTCTTTATTTAGAAGATAGTTTTAATCAAATACTGGTGTAGAGTACTTACAAAATGGGACGTGGTTTAAGAACATGCGAGTCCTGGACATTTGAAACTAATTTATAGTAATGGTGGGATGCCAACTGCTCCGCTTTCTGGAATAGTTTTTTCAAAGTGGTAGCAAATTATACAGTAAAATGCGTGAAAGAATGATGGCTACGCCTACTTTTTGATAGAGTAACTAGTAAATGGATGTTTTAAACGTTGCATTTTATATGATACTTATAATTTGTGATATTTAGTGGTGAAAAAATTACTTAAAAGGAAAAATACGAAACTGAAGGTAACTTAAATTTCGCCACCACTAGAAAATACTATTTTACAAAGCGGAGCAAGTTGGCATCCCTGGTAATGATTTAATGAGGGAATAATTGGCAAGTAAAGATAGATTTATAGCATAGCACCCTGAAACTTCTGAAAAATGTTCACACAAAATCATTCGTATGAATATTCAGAACAAAAATATTCAAAAGCTGTAACTATTTAGGGACAAAGGGAGTATATATTTTTCATACTAAATAAATATTTTTCCATTTACGATAAAATTCTTATCATAAGAAAACATTTAATAGAAATTTTGATTCTGAAAACAACTCAACCCGTAAAATAACACAGAAGAAAGAGGTTAAATAACAAAATAAAATGATAGTTGGTACAGAAAGGTGATTAATTGAACTACGAAGTTTCATTTTTTAGCATTGCTTTGCGTCATCAGTGAGCAATTGTGCGGTGTAAATTTTAAAAGTTCTTGAAAATACAAAAAGCGAAATGGTGGGGATTAAGTTCGGCAACTGAAAAAAAACGTCAGGGAAAATAGCATAATTTTGTGATTTTGATTAATAGCGGACGCCCATAAGAGACAAATGTCCTTAGGCAGAAGTTGCTCAGACAAAAAAAAAAAAAAAACAGTTTTGAACAGTTGGTGATTATCTTAAAAAAGTCGTACATTTAAAATTCTATTTTTCAGGAACTATTCAACCAATTTCGCTCAAATTTTGTATTTTGCCATGTAAAATTACATACTTTAAAATGATGTAAAAAATTGTAAAAGTTACTTTTCAAAATTCTTTTGACTGCTGTTAAGTAAAATAATAACAAATAATAAATATTTATTAAAATTTATGTTATACATGGAACTATCTTTCAATAAACGAATTTTATAATTGCCTGCATAAATTTTTCAATTCGCTTAAAATGTTCTCGAGATATGGGGAAATAAGCAAAAAGTAAAATTAATATTAAGGGGTTCAAATTTTGGATCATCCTCCTGACCAAACTATCGGGACTGTATTTTCCAGATTGCAGCTACCCCTTATATTTTGGAGGTCAGAAATCTGAATCCGTCGAAAAAAAGGTAGGTTTGTTCAGAGAAAGAACGTTTTTGTGTCCTATTTCGTAACTGAAAATTACGTCTGCACTTATGAATTAGCATATTTGAAGTCTCCTCCGCGAGTCATTAAGATTGAGTGAAGTACCCATCATTAGATCAAAAGTTATTCGGGGTGGCCCGTTTTTTTTTTTGGCGAACTGTACATTCAAGTCTTAAGAAATTAGTTGGCCAGTATTATTATGTAAATACATTCCTTGCAATAAACGAATATGTTTCTGTAGATAATTAAAGAAACAGAAATATATATTGTATGGTTGGTATTAATTTAAAAAACATATCAAATATAGTTTGGAAGATAAGAATTAATGAAAAAAATTTGATTTTCCCATTTTTTTCTACAGCTTTTAAAACAGTTCTTGATTGTGACCATCCTGATTAATCCAATCTGTAAATTGTGCTACTATATTTATTTCTAACCATGTTTCATTTTAAATAATGTTTTCTTAAGATAATTTCCTTATCTAAGCACATCTTTTAATTTTAACGAATCACAACTGTTTTATCACAAATGTAAACAAAGATTTTTAACGGCTAATTTATTCTAATGGTTACTTTTGTCTTCTTAAAGATATGTCTAATTGAAAAATATTTTTTTTTTACTCTGTCAATAGGGTTCTTTTTTATTACAATTAAAATTCATTTTATTTACGAATAAGCTGTTCTTTTTGTTGAAGCAAAAGTTTCCTTCTTTAAATATTGTTTCTTCTTTTTTTGGTAGTTCTCAAAGATATTTCCAGAACTTATTCAACTTAACGTTCTAAATTGCAGGTAAGTAAGTTTTATGAATGATTTAAAAATTGAAACGATAAAAGATGCTTGGAATGTCTTATGCAGTAAATGAAAAAAAAAATATGAAAGAAATTAATGAAAGCATATTATTTTAAATGGAATATTCAAACTTTTAACAGCTTTTACATATATTGAGGAAATCTCTGAGTGTACTTATTAATATTATTATTTTCTTTTCTTTAAAATACGCTAGTACTTTGTATCAAACACCTCCCTCAAGAAAAAAAAATTAATAATAAATAAATAATGAAATAATAATAATAAATAAATAAATAAACTACTATTTTGATATTTGATACAATTTTGTTTTTAAATACAAATATCCATGTATGAGATTTTGAACCCTTTCGTTACGAGCACCGTATTTAGCCAGCATCCACGCGATGACCTGTGTGCACGAGAGTCGTATTTAACTAACATCCACGGAATGCCTTGTGTGTACAAGCACCTTATTTAGCCAGCATCCGCGGGATGACTTGTGTGTACAAACACCTTATTTAGCCAGCATTCACGGAATGCCTTGTGTGTACAAGCACCTTATTTAGCCAGCATCCACGAAATGCCTTGTGTGTACAAGCACGTTATTTAACTAACATCCACGGAATGCCTTGTGTGTACAAGCACCTTATTTAGCCAGCATCCACGGGATGACTTGTGTGTACAAGCACCTTATTTAGCCAGCATTCACGGAATGCTTTGTGTGTACAAGCACCTTATTTAGCCGGATCCACGAAATGCCTTGTGCGTACAAGCACGTTATTTAGCCAGCATCCACGGGATGACTTGTGTGTACGAGAGTCGTATTCAACTAAGGGTGAAGGGTGTCCTTTTAAGCAACGGAGTTCCTGAGCAGCAAGGCTCGTACTTACGATATATTGATTGAGAGGGAGAAAGTAGCTGGAAATGTTGATTAGACAAATTGAGAAATTTTTTTTTTAAAAAGGTTAAGTGAAGGTAGTCGAACTGGTATCTGCATAATGTATCTCCATAATAATCTCCATAATTTATTTAAAAGTGTAAAAAAGGATGTTTTCAAGAGAAAGGACACAATAAAGAATAAAGAAAAGAAAAATTAAAAAAAAAGGAAAAAAAAAACAAATAATAAAAAGAGAAAAAAAACAAATAATAATAACCAAAACAAAAAATACAAATGGATTCAAATAGATACAAATAAAATATATTAGATTTAAATTAAATTAAAGATTTAAATAAGTAAGTTATGTCAGCAGCATTTGAAGAGCTATAGGAACATTTTGATGAGAAGGGGAATTAAAGAAAGAAAATTTGTGCTAGAGGAATGAAAAATTAAAAATTACTTAGTTGAAGTTGAGATTATATTTAAATAATGATTTAGATTGAAAATTTAAATCTATATAGAGAAAGATTAGCTTGATTTCTTCTAATTTTAGAAGGATGAAAACATTCATTAAAAGTCTACGATAGATGCCGCCACCAAGACAATTTAGTGATAGGTTTTCAAGAGAGGTGGATAGAAATAAAAATACATATTAAGAGTATATTTTTCAAGAGAATATGAAGAGTTAAATTAGGGAATATTATTTAAAAGATATTTTAGGGTATTGAAGTAATAATTATATTAGTAATAATCTAGATTCTATGTAGATAAAAAAGAGAATATCGAATCCACGTAAGATATGTATAGTGATGTTGAAAAATTGAAAGAAGTATTTTTCTACTAATATAAAAGTAGATAATATAAAAATAATAAAAATAAAAGCAAATAGCAGTGTATTGATTTAGCAGTTAAGATTGGGGAGATGATATAATAACTACTGGTAAGCAGTATTAAAATAAAAAAATAGTATGAAAATATGCAAAACACTGGGATATGTTAAGTTATTTGGTAGGTTAGAGTAATATATGGTAAATAATAAAAAATAATGTAACTGTGGCCGTATTTAAACAGCATCCGCACGATACTCTGTATGAATGAATGCTGTATTGAGCCGTAATTGATGATGAGCTATGTGAACAAGCGGCATATTTGACCGGCATCCACGTAATGTTGTGTGTGTATGAGAACCGTATTTAGCCTGGGATATACACTCGGATACCCGTTCGATAACCGGCATAATCTACTTCAAACTGCTACTGACTAATATCTCATTTACCTATATTGGATTTATACCACTAAAAGTATGTTCTAAATGCGCTTGATATGTTTTGTTAAAGTTTTTTTATAGTACTTGAAAAATCTCCAAATATATTGTTATTTTATAATTAAATAAAAAAATCCGAACATCAGCTAATGGGATACTTCGTGGTGTGGTGCTTCGTTGAGTAGCGTCGCTTCAGCCGAGCGGACTGCCGTAACGAAAGCGTTGAAAACATTTCTAAGCAATTTTGTGAAAGAGATTTATAAAAAAAAAATTAAAAAAAAAATTAAGTATAAAAAAACATGCGTAATCAATATTTTCAAATCATCTTTACTGGTTTTATCGCTTTCACTGATCAGGGTAAGTAAGACGGAGGAGGGGGAAAAATTGACTTTAAAACCATTTTATTTATAGCAGGTGACTCGAAACACTTCTATTGATTAGAATAACCTGCTGATTTGAATTAGTTTATTCGAATTACTTACGGATTGAAATCCAAAGATTCGAATTAACTGATCTGTGGATATTCGAATCAATCCTGTTACTGAATGCAAATCAGTTTGAAAGAATAATAATAAGGGAAAGTATCAATGATATTGTCCAGTATATTGTAAAATCAATTATATCATTCTTTTTCAGGAAAAATGGGAATTCTTATCTCTGTAAAATAGAACTGCAATTTATATCAATCACAGAAGAAGATTTGAAACGAATTAGGTTACCTGATTTCTGCGTATCGGGAGAAAATTCAGTCGATAAATGCCTTATTCCTCCATCTTTAATTTCAAAAAAAGATCGACTAAAAAGCGATCGTGAGTAATATGCATTAACTTTTTATGCTAATATACATGGTATTCTGAAAAAACAACCCTTTATAATGCATACCCTCCAACTTATGAAGATTTTGAAAATAATTCTTTCTAGTGGTAGCGAACCAGAGTAGAAATTTTTAAAGCAAATGGATCTCTCATAAAACTTTTATCAGAACTTAAGAATCTAGCCATATGGCTTGCACTTTTATAAGTAATAGTGGACAAGTTACGCTAAAATTAATTTTTTTTAAATATTAAGACATTAATTTTGCTACCGTCTGAAAAGAAGATTTCTGAAACTACGGAAATTCCGTAGCAGTTGGAGGGTATGATTAATGTTTACAGAGATGCCAACTGCTCCGGACAAGATAAAATAATTACAAAAACGGTAAATAACTACAAAGTAAATTTTGCATATATTTGACTATTTTTGCTTTTTTTTTTAAAAGAGGTATAGCATGACATTAGTACTAAAAAAGTGGTGAATTATATAAATCTAATAATTATTTAGAAATAGTGGTGGATAAAAATCTACTAAATTGAATTTATTAAACCAAGGATTACAATTGATAAACTACCACTTTAAAATATATATTTGCTGTCCGGAGCAAGTTGGCATCTCTGTGTGTATATATATTTAGAATCCTTGTTAAATATGAAGTCTAAAAGTATAGGAGTAATATTTGCCAATTTTTTTAAGAAGATGGTTTTATGATGTTCCTTGGATTTATATTTAATGTAGAACATGTGACCGATGTAAATCTTAAGGAACCGGTAAAATTTACCATACTCAAAAGCATTGCAATTTTTTTCTGCAAAATATGGTATAATATGGGTGAGTACAAAGGTATTACAAAAAACTAATTAAATACGTAAACTCTGTTATAATCTTGGATCATGACTATTTGTAGACAATTTCATGACAAAAAGAATATATGAAACACAGAAAAGAATTCATTTACCTTTAAATAAAAATAATAATGAACTAATAGGATTAACACAATATGATGAACTTATAATGCTCTTTCTGTCCCAAATTAGTTGATACATTTGAATACTTTTGCACTGATTATTGCTATTGAGGATTTCATGATTTTATTTTAGCATTTTTCAGAGTGCTATGCTATCAATTAACATCATGTACTTATTAAGCATTGTCTCCTTAAATCAATACTAAATTTGTTTCAAAATTCCAGGAGTGGCACGCTGGCATCATTTTGTAAGGACTCTTTCACCAGTAATCGCGTAAAATTATCTTCCAGCTAGTGAATTTATTAACCTCATCGAGTCATATATGCATTGTAAGGGTGTCGATAATCGGGGTAAGAAAAGATAAAACTGATAGCCAAATTTTTTTTATAGCAGCTAACTTGTGGGCGGGGTAATGATAGTTTGCTTTATTTAATTCATCACTCCTTAGTTCGATTTAAAAATTGTATAGTAACACTTTTAACACAAAGGGATTGAATGTGTTAGATTTAAAGTGAAAGCAAAAATAAGTCTGTCAAATTAGCTGTCCCCAAACTTAAGCTACCGCTTTTTATTTTTTTTATTTATTTTTCACTACCCTGATTCTGATTCCGTACGAATACCTTTTTGACTCGCCCGTCCCGAAAAGGTTAATAGTGTAATTTTACCGGTGTCGATCTACTAAACTGCATTGATAGTTATTTATGACTCCACCTATTTGAAATTTACAAACTAATTTGGGACACAATTTTCGATCTAAACTTAGAAACTAATTCGAGACGGAGGAAATATTGTATTTGACCAACAATATCATGCTCGCCTTACAGCAAATAGAAGACATCTGTTTTCAATCTGTAATCTTTTGACATACTTCATATGAGCTTTCGATAGTTTTTTTTGTTGAGATTATCATCTTTTTTTTGCCTACAAATAGCATATTAGAGTGTTATCGCATAATTGGCACTTTTCTTCTACACTTTGGTAAATGAAAATTAATATTTACAAAAACTAAATTACTTTTGAAAATTTCATAACCAATTTAGAAATACCATGTATTTGAGTGCATTTAATTAAAAATTTCCTAAGTTACAAAATATTTATAATAATTTTTTTTTAAAATTTTAAATTTCAGTTTCCTGTGCTAAAGTATTTTATAATTAAACTTGAAGCAAAATACATTCTTTTTAAATTTAATTATGAATGAGCCACATTAGTAGCTATTTTCTGTAAAAGAGAAATTCATGTTAATGTATTATTGATTTGAAATATTTTTCAAATCATTTTTCATCTAAAAAAAAGCTTTTTTTAAATTGCTAATCAAGTTGCGAATAAATTAAAATACTTTTTATTCTGTTGTTGTTAAGCTCCATGTTTAACCAAGCTATTCTAAGCCCATGATGTTTACAATGTCAGGAAATCAATAATCATGAGTGGGTGCTCTTAAAAATTATATTTTGTGAGGCAATCAAGAATATGCTCGGTAGGCAGAACACCTAAGACAGGCCGGAAAAACTTAGTTTTTATTATGTTAACCCTTTTGAAGCCGTGGTAAGTATACTTACCACCATGTTTTACCACTTTTAATTTAGGTTTCCATTTTTCAATAACTTCAGCTTTCTTGAAGTGAGTTTGAATAAAATTGGTAACCATTTGTCACTTTTAAAAAACGTATAAGAGTTATAAATACATAATTCCTTTTGGAGTGTGTAGCATTTAAGGAATTTATTTTATAAATAAAGAAAAATAAAAGTCAGTAAGTTCCTAATAGGTCATGTTAAATATATTTACCACCAAAAAAATGGCATTTTTATAAACTAAATGAGTTTTTTTTTATATATCAATTACTGTTCTTAAAACAATTTCAATTCCAAAAATACTTTAATTTACCTTTACTAGAAATAAAGGGCCCGTTAACGGGTTAAGGTGTCCACTGCGGGAACGGGTTATATGCGGAAACATATATATAAGCAGCAGTATTTTCTAGTTTTTTTTCTCTACAGTGCTACTGCTTTCCATTTTTTGTTGTTGCATAAACAACTTTAGAGACTTTTTTCCGATTTAGTGCATAGCTGACGTTTTTTTAAGCACTTTCTAGATAAACTTCTTTGTACTTGTAGCTATTAAACAATTGATTTTACAATTATAAGCAGGAACTAGTGATCCGATTTTAAAAATTTTTCGCAGTTGTGCTCCCTCCTTAGTAAGGTAATAAACATAAACATTTACTGCTCTTTGCACTAGATTCTATACCACTCATGTTTTAAAATTAATTTGAAACAAATTAGCTAATTATCTTGGATTTTGAATATCCTAGTATTAAAAAATAATGAAATTCTGAAGGAATTCTACATCAAAATTTCTGATATTCCATTTATATTGCTATGTATTGTGTACTTTAAATTGTAAATTTACAATTGAGATTTCTTTGTAAGTTAAAGTTCTTCAAAAACTAAATTTTAAATATTTTATTGGTAGTTTTAAAAATATTTTTTTGTGCTAACTAGTATCGATTAGAAAATCAGACCCATGTGATATGGACTTCAAGGAACAGATTTGTGGATCAGAAACAGTGTGTACCAGCTCAGACTCCAACAAATCTTTCAACTGCACATGTGGTGCTGGTTATGAGATGAGAACCAAGGTCTTTCCATTCGCAGATTCCAACTCTTTTATTGAAACGTGCAATGGTAAGTCATCATAAAAAATAATATATTAGAGAGCTAATGCCCCGCTATTTTATTATGATATTATACAAGGCTTATTTGATTTCATAATTAGTATTTGGTGGAAAGGTAAGCACATTATGAGAATTGAAAATTGCCTAGAAACCCACCATGGTGTCCCGAAAGAATTGATTCTCTATTATGAACTGGCTGTTCGTGCACATTTATTATAGTATTTATCTGAATTATCCATTTCTTCCAAAGTTTGATGTTGAGTCGTGGATGCTTAGGAGATCGAGTGTTCGCCTCCAAATGAGGTGACTTAAAGTCGAACCCAAGTGGTGTCTGGTTGATACGAATTCTGTTCCCGGCTCGCCCCGATTGGTAGATGGATTTTGGGTTAGAATCCTCTTGCCATCGGGCTAACCTTGGAAAGCTTTCGTGGTTTTTTCTCTCCATGCAACGCAAATGTGAGGGGGTTCCATCAAAAAGTTCTCAATGAAGGCTAATTTCTCATAGTGCTTGATTCTGGAAATCCCTCGTTCTTCTGGGTTGGGCTCAAAATTACAAGACTACGACGTGAACATTGATAGTCGTAAACTTAGATTTTGATCCGCAGTTTATCACTGGTTATAAAATAAAATAAAACTTTTGAGGTTTTTGAAAAATATGTTTCACCGTGGTACAGACCTAAGGTAGAAATTTTTAAAACAAGTAGAATTTAAATAAAATTTCCTTCTATCTAAACTTGATAGTATAAAAAATTTGGCAATTTATCTCTTACATATCTGTTTAAATTATTTATATGTAAAGATGGACATAATTCTTTTTATTCCAATTTATTGCAATGTTTAGATATTGAATAATTTGCCTTAGAAACCACTAAAAAATGAAAATTATTTTTCAAATTCCGCAGTTGTTGAAGGCTAGGAAATTACCACAATTTTATGTTAGTTTTATATTTTCTGGTATTACTGTCGGAATCTGCATTTGAAAAAACGCATAAATAATCTATTGTAATGTGTAATAATGTGGTAAACAAATTGAAGACAAGTTGACAAGTTAGTCACCAGATCTTTAAATTACGATAAAATTCCTATTTATGGGCCTATTTGATTGCAATTTTATGCAATAATAGCTAAAAAACGTAAAACACTAAATTCTAATTAAGATGAACTATACTGCCGTTTTAAATGAACACGAACAGCCAGTTCATAATGGGGAGGGAACCATAAGATGTCGTATCCTGACACAGATTGCTACGCAATTCTTAATCGACCTACCTCCCCGAAAACATTTGATGATTTCATAATCCCACAGAATAAATATAGTACTTTATAAATGAAGGGCATGGGTAAATATAATGATAAGCCACATTTTAAAATTGTTCATGATTTTTTTTTACTAAAATAACACTTCTATTTCTATGCAGGAATTATGATATTTCTTTGTGTTATTGTACAGTACCTATCTAGATAAAATACAGAAGATCAGTTTGGTGTATAAATGTTATCTCTGAACTAATCATTACATTTCCCTAACTCCTTTAAATAAATAAAAATTACATAAATGCGTTAAAATTTTGCATAAGTATACAATTATTTTTTAAATACTTGCTGCTAACTGTAACACTTATGCTAACACTAAACACTTACTGCTTATTTTTACTGCGTACTGCTACCTTTTGCTTAGTTTATTATTTGTAAAATATCAATTGTTCACAATTTTTAAAATATCACTTGTTTATCATTTGTAAAAATTTTATTTTCTTACTTTTTAAAACATCATTTATTTACGACTCTTAAATGAACCGTCGACCGTGTCAACCGTCGACCAGGTTTCGAAGTTTAAAAATAAAAACTATCATCTATGAAGCACTAATTCGACCTATTCTGCTTTATGGGAGGGAATGCTGAACAATAACCATGTTGCATGAAAGTTAATTATTGACCTTTTAGCGGAAAATCTTAAGAAAAATATTTGGTGCTGTCCATGAGAATAATAGCTGAAGACTCCTGTTTTACTTTGAAATTTACCGAAAACCTGTAGTAATCTGATATTGTTACAGTCATAAAAGCAATAGATTACGATAGGTTGGACATATAATTTTCGATCTGACAATGTTGGTTCAGTAAAAAAGTTCACTTTTACTAATCCCATGGGAAAAAGAAAACGAAGAAGACCACCAAGTAGTTGTCTTGTCACGGAGGAGAAGGACTTTCATATAGTAAATAAGGGGAACTGGAAAAGCCTTACTGCGGATAGAACCAGATGGCAAAGAATACTTAGAACGGTTTTGGCCTGTAAAAGGCTGTAGTGCCCTGAAAGAAGAAGAAAATACTTGTTAATTGTTAGTGAAATATTGTTGGTAAAAAGTTTTTCTTTTCATTTGTACTGTACAAAATATAACTGTTTCAAAAATTGGACTAAGTTTTTTATAATCGTATGTGTTTAGATGTAAACGAATGCCTGATGGACGGAATTTGTCCTAAACATACCACTTGCGAGAATCTCATTGGTAGTTATAGTTGCTCTTGCACGCCTGGCTACAGGATAAAGGATAAGACATCCGACCCGAAAGTTAATGGCTGTGTTGGTGAGTTTTTATTCAATGGCTCAAGTGCTAATTTTTATTTATGTATCCATTTCTTTCAGAAAGAACACGGCGTTTAAACTGCCTTAATCATAAAAGGTCGTAAGATGTGTTTAGCCATTTGATGTAGAATTTTCAATTAACCCATATATTTATCATGTTTTTTTTGTTATTTGATATTAAATTAGATTTTATTTAATTATTTAGGTCAACTTTAACAATTTAAGTCAAAACAAGTGAAGACTTATCATATTAAACATTTTAATAATTTATGGTTATGAAATACAGCACGACACACCGGTGCCCTTTTCTGCGTTAAAAGTAAACTCTCCCAATCACGGCTTATTTTCAAACAATAATTTTTCGGATTTGCGCTTATTTGAAGTTATTTAAAACATAAAAGAAATAGTTATTCATTAGTGAAATTTCTATAATTTACAAAATCAATTATTGATAAATTTGTGAATACGAATGAAAAAAAAAGACATTTTTAAACTACTTTTTTCGGATTTATTATTTTTTTACAAATATAATTCCGATAATCTAATCGATTTTTTTAAGTAACTATTAGACTGATTTTTATAAATAAAAAAATAATTTTTTTTTTTTAATTATAATATAAAAAACATATAAAAACATATAAAAAAGATAGCGGTATCTCATATGCATCAAAGGGTTAAACATCATAAGTATTTTCTATTGGTTGTTACTTTTTCAGTTTTTGTTTTTTTAAATCGCATTCAAATGATGTACTGTATAATGTTGTATACGAACATATGTTGTATTTTGTAAAATAAATGTGGAGAGGAGAATAAATAAGTGAACACTCTTTATCTTTTTTTAAAAAAAAGTGAAGTGCAAAATGCAAATACCGGTGACAAATGGTGGGTAAATAATTGAGCCCCAAATTTCTAAAAGATCGAAATTTGGCGCTATTTGTTGCAATTAAATGGTGCCAACAAAAAACGAAAATGAAGCTTATTTATCAGAGTTATCCAAAATTAGAGCACTGTACGAAGAACTAAGCATATCAATTTAGGAGTTATGTCTTATCATTATTGATTTATCCTTAGTCGAGTCTTTCTTTTTATCTAGCGTTTGATTAAATAATAAAGCTAAACTAAATTAATAAACTCTAATTAATTTAATAAAGCTTTAAAAATGGACTCTTTTCGAATAATCTGAAGTGCTTATAAGTTAAATCTGCAGATACATTTCAAAATTGATTACAATGAATGATGAATGCGATAAATTTCTAATTTCATTCGTCACTTATCTCCAAAAAGGAAATAATAAAATGTAAAAAAAAATTTTTTTTTTTTATATTATTAAAAGTAAAAATAAAACTATGAATAATCATCATGTTTACAACCGAATTAAAGTGAAATATAATTAACCAGCCAATCAATTCATTAAATTTGCTAATTTCTCATCAATCAATTAATAAAAATACAATTCAAATTATTGTTTATATTCAAAGAATTTTTCATGATATTTTAATAATTCCGGAATACTTTTATTGTGTTTTATCATAGGAAAAACCTTCCTAGTGTTAAAAATTTATCAGCAGGAAGTTTAAAAATTTAAGCAAATTCTAATTTTGTTTGGGAACACATATATTTTTAAGGTATAAATTTTTTTGGTGAGTTATTAAGTATACAGTATGCATGGAGTGGGGTATAGGGAGAATAGCTTCGATGGTTTAATTTTTCATTTGTCTAATAACATGCGTTGAACAGCCGACCCGGTTTTTGGAAAACGACAATCAATGTTCAAATTCATAGCTTTGTAATTTTGAACCCGATCCTGAAGACAAGTGAACTCATGAATAAAGTATTGAACCAAGCTAGCTTTCGTCAAGTCCGTTTTGATGTAACTAACCATCATTTGAGTGACATAAAGAGAAAAACAACCAAAATTCCCTCGGTTAGTCCGATAGTTAAAGGATTCTAGCCCATGATTCGTCTACCACTGTCAATATTATACGTCAGCACTATGTTCGGTAGCCGAGAGCGCAATTTCAATTTACCAGCTATAGCAGGGATTCGGATCTGGATCATTAAGAGGTGGGGAGCACTCTATCCCCTGAGCCATCACCTCCTACATCAAAAAGCCTCCAATCGGTCTTTTATAAGTAGTCTGCGCAGACTGTTTAAAAAGTAACCAGTTGGGCGCATGAACCCAAAATTTTTTATAAAAGTAATTGAGAGAAATTTATCATATATATTTGAGAATTGAATCAGTAGTGGTTGACAAGTGAATAAACTAAACCAATTATATTCATAAATAAAACAAATTTTTAGTCATATATTTGCTACCACTTTCTTATTTTAACTATATTCTGTATTAAATGATTCGTTCGGAAAGTGGATATCTTTCACAGTGGTCTAATCGGACTACGTATAATAAACCGTGTGGAGGCTTTCAGTTATAGGAGGCGTTGTCATAAACGCGCACTTTTTTCAAAATTTCCATATACATTTTGAAAGTATGTTGTCGAATTGTGATTATTCCGTTTACTGGGTGCTTGTTGGAATGAATCTCAGCTTTCAATAAATAAATAAATAACTAAAATAAAATTAAAGAAAAATACACTAAAGAAAAAGTTCTACGACATTAAATCGCATGACGTGGTTTGCTAATTCTGAGCATCAAAACAGGATATTACACAAACTTATTTCATGACTCAATACATTGCTCAAAATATTTCTGAACGTTGAAATCACGTTGTCCTTCTTCGAAAGCGCTTCATTATAAACATCTGTGAAACTGATAGCTGTCATTTTATTTCATTGATGTCAGTTTATTGCAGGTATAATACAAAACTCAAATCTTGCTTCGATTTCTGGAAACAATTTCGATACAATGGTGTTGATATAATCGTAAATTAATTTTAAGAACGTTTTCTTTAAAAAAATTTCTTTAAATAATTATACAATAAGTTTCTCAATATTTCATACTCCGTTAGAGGATTGTTTAATGCATAAGAAATACTGTAATCTCCTAAAGGACACTATTTTTCGTATCTGTTTGTTCAAAGAAATATTTTGCAATTATCTTATCTATCAGTTCTATTGCCGTTAGCAACGGTTTCTTTTATCCTCTCCCAATATTTGCATTCATATCTATTTAAGACATTTTATCTAGATTCACAAAATAAAATACTTAGAATATATGTAGAACCAGTACATAGATATGATTTTCATTCCTGTTTTTGACGTTTCTAAAACAATGAGTTTGTTTGTATTTATATATTTCATTTTTCCCATCTGTTCTTTTGTAAAAACTGTTGAATTAAAATTTAGAAATAGCTTTGAATTATTTTCGTGAATACAGCTGTAATCGTTAACCTGTGGCCACAGCACTCTTATAGATTTTAAATTGTTGTAGATTTATGATATTCTTTTCATTTTCTGAATGAAGTAACACATTTTAACCAAAATTAACTCATTAAATTTTAATACTAACACAATATTAGTTTCTGGGAATGTAACTATTACAGTTAACCAATGGCCACAGCATCGCATTAAAATTAAAATAGTTGTATATTAATAATATTTTTGCCATTTTCTGATAGAGACATCACATTTTAACTAATATTGCTCAATAAAAATTTTAATACAAGAGCTTACAACATTGATATTTTTAAACTAAAGTGAAAAACAAAAATTAAAAAACCAAATTAATTTAGTTATTTCACATGTTAACCCCTTAACGCACAGATTTTTTGAAAAAAAAAATTTTTTTTAATCTAAAAGAACACACTTTAGAACATTGTCTTTTGGTGGACAATTTTGATATACTGCCCTTTTGTTCCATGGACAAGGCTATTTTATTCTTGAATAAATAAGTGTTATAGCTTACAATTCTATGCAACTGATAAATATCAATAAAACGATTTCTTTTCTTATCTTTCGCATTGTTATTTTCAATCCACGATTATATTGGAGTGTGAAAAAATATAGCAGCATAAAATACAACGCCGCTCGAATTATCTCGAGTGTGCACAGTTTGGCCTGTTTAGCGAGCTCGAATTAACTCGAGCGCTCAAGTTAAGGGGTTAAGATTATTTTTGGAAACATAGATGTTTGTGTTATTCTAATAGTAACATTTCACTTTAAAAATCAATTTAACAGAAAAATATCTACCAGAATACTTATAAATTTTAAATATTTATTCCTCAACCATTTTCACCCACACTCTTTATTTGTAATTTCAGTACGGTTAGGTTCAGTAGGTCAATGTTTTAACAGGCCAGCCAACTATTATGTTTGTGGTAAAATATTAAACAGAGTGGTCGACTTTTTAAATCCAAAGTTTTCAGATTATGTGGTAACTTAGCCAACATTTTAAAAGCCTCTCCACGACACAGCAAGAGCACTGCAGCTTCGCATATGAACTTCTGAATCATTTATTCGTAGTGGTGTGGAAAATAAGTTTAAATGAATGAACAATATGCATTAAAACTTAATTTAGTTACCACTAGAATAAAGTTTTACAAAAAGCGGAGAAAGTTGGCAGTCCTGTCTTATTTGTGCATATTGTAGTCATAGACCTTTTATACTTTTCGTGAAATTAAAGAAAAGAAAATTCGTGAAATGAGGTATTTTTACTACCAGCACTTTACATTTTCGCAAAATTGATAGCCTTCCCTTTTGGTTGAAAGCTTTTTAGAGTTCGAGTGGTTGATATGATTAATTTAAAGTAGTGCAAGCTGCGCTTAAAAACGTAGAGATTGGTAATTAAACTATTTCTGATGCTTTAATTACAAGCAAAATGATATTTTGGCATCTTTAATTATAAAATACAGTTTAACAGTAACAAAAAAAAACCTGTTAAATTATCAAAATTATATTTGTACAAAACTATAAAATTCTAAAAAAGTAGTTGGAATTTTTTTAAAATTCGTATGAAAAAATTTTACAAATAATTGATTTTGTAAATTTAAAGGGGGATAATTTTTATCTCTAAGAACAAATTAGCTGCTAATAAATGCTAACTTGAAAAATTATTGTTTGAAAATGAGCTGTGTTTGAAAGATTTTACGTTCAACGCAGAAAAAGATACTAGTGTTTAATCTCGTATTTGATAACCATAAATTATTAAATTGCTAAATATAATAATTTTCTCTTATTTTGATCTAAACTACTAAAAAATAATAAAAAAACTTTGAAAAATTTGATAAAAATTCTTTGTCAGAGGGTTATATGAAAGATTTCGTTTAAAGTTCGTTTTATGATCAAATTCCGTGGCCACAACCGAAATATATATATATATATATATATATATAATAACAGGNAATATTTAACCGAGGAAATAAATGCTATTGAAATCTAACCAGTCCTATGCCGGAAAAAAAGAAAATGTTGAAACTTGAAGGTGTTTCTAATAATCGTCTTTCAACTATATATATATATATATATATATATATATATTAGTAGATAGGAATTAAGGAAAATATTATGTTCTTTTCCGAGTTTTGACCAATCCATCAACTAATTATTAATTAGGTCTTTCAATATTCGATGATTTTTTAACAACTTCGTATAAAATAAGTTTTCGTTCACATTTTTTTTACTCTTAATATTACTATTTTTTTTTTTTTTAGAAATTTGCAATCCAAATCCATGTGATCATGGCAGTTGTGAAAGGAATGGTGAAGCCGATTTTGTGTGCAGGTAGTTTTTTTTCTTATAACTCTCGCTGAAGAGCCGACTCAATTTTTGTGTTTACGACTACCAATGTTCAATTCCGTAGACTTGTAATTTGGAACCCAATCCAGAAGACCAAGAAACCCCTGGGATCATGCATAGTGACAAACTAAACTTCGTGGTGCACATTTTGACGAAACTAACCCGCATTTGCGTTACATGGAGAGAAAATCTTCCCACAGTTAGCCTGACGCTAATTGGACTATAAATCATGATTTGTCTATTACTGAGGACTGTGGTCGATACGAGTCGGGTGTGGAATTCACATCGTCAAGTCATCGCTGAGATTCGAATTCGGGTTACTTTATTGGGAGGCTAGTGCTTTAACCACCTTAGATACCACAGCTCGTGCAGGTCATGTTGTTAACAATAAATTTATAATTTTCAAATAACTCATTTTATTTAAATTATTATCTCGTGCCTAAAACGTGAATTCTGAAGCTGTGTTGTTGATTTTGAACTTTGAACAGAAATATGAGTAGACATGTTTCATAATACACATATTCTATTAGCACTCATTTTCCATCAGCATAAAATAATAAATAAACGAATAATAATAATGATAAGCACACATAAAATTGCTCAATAGAATTTTTTGACATTTCTTAATAAGAATGCGATAAAGAGTTATGGTAGTTGAAAGAAAGTATGATATAATAATAATGAAGTTTCTGTCATAAAGGATGTTGACGATAACGGAATTCGATAACGGATGTCATTTAACAATAAAATCACCACACGTCTTAAGTCTAAGAGTAAACATGGCGATTACTTAATTTAAAAAAAATGTAGGCCATCAAGGATGCAAGTAGTTGATTTAATATTAGTTATTGTTATTAGATTTTGTTATTGTTATTAGATTTTGGGTACATATTTTATCCTTTTGTTTTGCTGAAACTTATTATTATTTGACATTTGCTAAATTTTTATCGTTTTGTTCTTTGGTTGAAAAAATTAACTTATTATTATTTGGCATTGACCAAATTTTTTACTTTTTTCTGCTAAAAAGTTTAAATTATTGTTATAGTCATTTGGGCCTTTTAGCTCTCCATTATGTGATACTTAACCTTGTAGTAGTTTTAATCATAAATTAAAAGAAATTAAGAGAACAGATTGGCTTACAAATCATAAAATGGATGGAAGAAAATAATTGGCTATTGTGCTGTGACTGCAGCGCCAATATTTAATATATATACTGATATGTTTCATTGGCGCAACATTTTACGATTATTTCTCTTTGGCTGAAGTGGTAGTCAAAATCATAACAAATTTTATTTGTGAAATCAAAAATAAATTGGTAGAGTGTAAAGTTTCTTACCATTGTAAATATGAAAAGAGAATCTCTCGTTTTAAGGGAAAATTTGGTATCTATGTCATTAAAATTTTATAAAATTTAGCACTTCGGTCTCAATATAAATATAATGCAAATAACAAGACGAAATAATGTAAAAAGTGAAAGAAAAATAGGCAAGTTGGTGAACAAATCGCCTCCTTTCTTATTGCATGCCGCCGCCCATCTGCATACTGCACAAATGACTATAATTCTCTTACTTACCTTCTAAGTATTTTCAAAATTTACGTTAAGAATTAGATTGTGCTGAAGAATAACTGTATCAAATTAATTTCAGGTGTGAAGCTGGCTTTGCTGGAATTTTATGCGATCTGACCGATGCAAATTACAAAAGTAAGTAGTCTCTAACTTTCAACCAGTTTCTGATAGAAGATAAATATTATTGGGGAAGTTCGAATTCGGGGAAATGCTGGAGAGTGCGAAATTTTTTACACTAATAAACGTCAGCATTCTGGAAAGAAATGGTGAAAGCACGTCAAATAAATATTTATAAGAAACGATATTTCATACCAACAACTCAATCATCAGTGCATGTAATCAACAGGCCACCCTCTGATTTTCTGCTGATTTTTAACAAAAATATTTTATTCAACTTTCACCAAAGAAATCACGCAATAATTATGTAAATGTCTACATAAGCTAGAAAAATGACATTCCCTACTTATGGTATTTCACAGTAATGCAGACAAAAAACTGTTAAATAATTTTAAGATTAAAATTTACCTCATAAGAAAAGAGAGGAAATATTTGAAAATTCAAGATATTCATATCGTAATTAATTGCATATTTTTAAAACAGTCTTAAATTTAAAATTACATGAAAAATGGTAAAATGGTTGAAAATTTATTATATTCATATCGTAATTAATCAAATATTTTTTTTATCTTAAATCTCATATTAATTATATGAGAAATGGTTAAATGGTCGGAAATTCAAGTTAGCGCAAATAATAAAATATTTTTAAGAAATTTTTATTTTTAAATTTATTACATAAGAAAAGTTGTAAAGTAGTCGAATTTTTATTTTTCATTTTTTTTTATCGTGTATCTTACTATATTGAGAGTAATTTTTATTGAAAAATAACTAAAATATTTAGACCTTTATAAGTTTTTTTTTGTTGTTTAAAATTTAACCGCGTATTTTTGTAATTTATATAACAGATCTCATAACGGGTTTCATTTTTATAATAGGTTGATAAAGTTCTGTTTATAAAAATTAATTCCTCTTATTAAATTTATATTATTTGTTTCCTCCAATATTCACAAGTTGTTTTTTAATTTAATTTTCCAGTGCATATACATCAAAGATTCACGTATAATTGCATAATTTCATGATTTTTAATACTTTGTTCCCCTTTTATCTTCATTATTAGTTCATTAATTTTTATGACTTTTAATAAAGAGTAATAAATTTGATGAACGGGTCAATGGTGTTTTGTACAAATGTACTTTGATCTTCCTAATTTTCAATGATTCATTTCCTTGGTTTCATTCATTCAAACACATAAACAAATAAAAAGATCAATTTATGATATTATTTTTAAGTGCAGATGATTTTTTAATTGTTTATTACTGTTGAGGATTTTTTAATATTTTTAAGTGTTGAAGTTAATCTAAAATAATGGAGTTTATTACCAACAAAAATGCAGTGCACAAAAGATGTGCTCGATTATGAAAGATTTATTCGGAGATTCCATATATGGTCATACAATGGTAACCGATAACATGGTACCATCACTTTGGAATGGGGCTTTGATAAAACTTTACGTGGTAACAATGGTTTTATTGTAAATGAATAAATCTGTTTATTAGATTTATTTATACAAATATTTTTAAATAGTGCCTCTTACATGATATTCTGCATCTGCGAAATCATTATAAAATGAGAAAATCACCTAAGTATCTTAACTTTTACAGATAAAAAAATTAAGCAGTAATTTTGTAAAAAAAGCTTTTTTTTCTTCAACAGGGCACTGTCATGCCCAGTGCACGAAGTTCTTCTTAGAACCTAGATCACAGCCTGATGGAAAAAATCCATTCATATGTTCTATTTAATCAAATAAATCTTGTGATAGTTATATCTGTATAAAATTCGTTTTCTTTTCGCAGGAGCACAAACAAATACGATTATAGTGGGAGCGGTTTTAGGAGGTGCCCTCTTAGTACTTATAATTATCTTCTTTGTCACAGTTCAAAGGTAAAAATTTATTTTGAATTTCATTGCTTTATGTTTCTAAACAATTTAAAACGAAATTACTTTATTCTAAGCATATATTTCCTAGTTGTTTGGTTTTCTAATGTACAATCATATTTTGTTCTTAAAAAGATAAATCAAAATTATCTTTCTTTGACAACAATATGAATATTATTATTTTTTTTAAAAATAAAAGTGGCTATTATGCTAAGAATTAAAAATCATTTTCTACTGTACATCTACTTTACATTTTTAAAACTCTTCTAATTGCAATTTTTCTCATGAGTACATAGCTCAAAAAGCTCATTCTTGAAAATGGACATTATACAAAGTGCGTTTTTTTAAAAAATAAACATGGCTTGAAATGCGTGTTTGAAACTAGATATTTCTTAAAACGTGTTTTTTAAAATAATATTTTGCTTTAAATGCAGGTTTGAGAAATGGATTTCGCTCAAAACGTGTGTTTAAGAAAATAAACACACAAACTTGAAATGTGGATTTGAAAAACTAAATATAGCTCAGAACCAACCCCTCCTATAACTGAAAGTCTCCACACGGTTTTTTATAGGTAGTCCGATCAGACCACTATGAAGGATATCCACTATCCGAACGAGTCACTTAATACAAAATCTAGTTGAAATAAGAAAGTGGTAGCAAATATATGACTAAAAATTTGTTTTATTTATGAATATTATTGGTTTGCNAGCTTTCATGCATCCATACGCGCACGTTGGTATCTGACAAATATTCTTTCGTAATTTTTAGGATAAAGAAAAAGAAGCTTGACGAGCCTGATCGGATGCTTTATGCTACTGAAATGGTATAGTTTTTGGGAAACAGATTTGTATTTATGCTTTTTAAACTTTATTTTAATGACATAAAATGTGCCATTTAAAAGCGAATTATTATTAACTCCTTTGACTGTGATATCAACGCAAATGCGGTAATTTTGGAATGCCCGCCCTAAATTTGGGCAAGAGAAAAAAAAGGTGCTTCATTTCCGTTGAATCCGTACTCAGTTCATCCAGTGCATAATATGTAATTTACCATTTTTCCAACACATACTTGTTTTTAAACTTTCCCACGAAAAGTCTAGCAGTTTCGCGCCATTTTTTGGATTCTTGAAATGTGTTCGAAATTCAAAGGAATCTGAGCATGGAATTAATGACAGTTGATATAAATAACAATATTGCTGCATTAGTTTATTATATTTAACTTGAAAATTATTTCATTTGATTTATTTTGTTATAATTTGAGTAAAAATTACCGTAAATCCATAAACATTTCCCATATATGTGAAAATATTAAATATAGTATAGTTACTTCGTTCACTTTTTTAAAAAAAATATTCGATTTCTAATATTTTGATGATAATAACAAACCAACTTAAAGAAAAATTTTTTAAATTTTTGCCACGTTTTTCTCAAATTAATTCTACAGGCGAGGGGTAAGGTGGCAATTTACATAAATTTGCGATGAAGTTATAAAAATGCAACTGAAATATGTTTTAAAAAAATTGTGTTTTGAAATAAGAAATTTATGCTAGCTACATTTAATTTATTTTTTTTACTGTTGAGTATATTTGAGTATATTTTTTCTCATAAATGAAACTCATGTTTAATTTTTGATATTTGTTCGTGTTAGATACCGTTATTCGCAAATTTTTTCTTTATAAAAAACAATAAGCTCTGCCTTCTTTAAAAACAAAAATAAAATTAAGATCGATAAAACTCCTATTGTTACAGAAAACTCTTGAATCGTAGGCTTCGTTTATAATCTAAATTTCAGTTTAATTTAATATAATTGTCCATCAAAATATACAATTACTGCAAAAAAATTTATTATTTTACAACTTGGTTCTATGAAAAAAGAAATAATTGATAGATTTTTTTAAATATCATCAATATGAAATTATAATAAAAGTGAAAAAAACACGAGTGAAATATTTTCAAAAGAAGCATTCAGTAATAATAACAAACTTGATCCTTACAGCCTCACCCTCTGTACGAGATGAAGTTGGAAGCAACTTCTAAATCTGAAATAGTATTCGTTATTATGAAACGAATAACCGTATAAATAGGGCTGCTAACTTTCTACACTTTTTGTAAACATTTATTCTAGTGGTATCTAAATTAATGATTTATTTTTTATTCATTTAAACTTATTTCCCACACCACTACTTTAAAATTTCGTATGCAACACTTATTTTTTTCTGTTCCTTATGGTCAGGCTTTTAAAATATTGGCAAAATTATCAAAAATTCTGAAAGCTTTGGTTTTTAAATGTCTACTACTCTTTAAAATATTTTTCAAAAAGCGTAGTAGTTGGCAGGCTTGCAATTGAACTATTTACATGTAGTAGTTAAAATCAAATTTACAAGACAAAAAATTATGCATCGAAACGTTAACTCAGCTAACCTTAGAAGATATTTTCCTCATAAGCGTTGAAAGTTGGCAGCTCTGTTTAAAACTTAGCACAATCGACACTAGCAGTTAAAATTCGTAATATGTCTTCCAGTTTACTATTTCCCAATTATTTTTGCTCCTTAATTTAAAAAACACGCAATCTTTCATTTTTATTGTACTTGTGCTGTTTACAATATTGATTTGTGCTATTTACCATTCAGAAGGAAAATCCATTTATGAGCTGAAGAGATCAAAAAATGAAGATAACACTACATAATCATGGCCATCCTTACACTTTATGTCGTGATATTACTCATATTTTCTTTTAAATCGATTAATGGTTCATGACTCTTAAGAAGTTATTAAATACTGGAAAATATTATGAATGGTAATATTAAGAGCAAATTTAAGCACAAATCTCAATAATAAAACCTTTGCAAACATCAAGCCTATTTGCATATCGTCTCATAAGCTTCAAATAAGCGGAATATTACATCATAAATTTTTATCATTCCATTCCGATTTTTTTTAGGATTTACCTACCAGAATAAGAACAAGGCTGCAAACTACTACGCTTCTTGAACCATATTTCTTAGAGAAGTAGAAAATTAAAAATTAAAGCTTTCATAATTTGTTGCAATTTTGCCAAAAATTTAAAAGCTTCATTTCAGATGAGCTGAAACAAATTGGCACCCCATAAGAACTTAAAAAATTAAATTCTTAGAAAGGTAATATTCAATTTTTGATTTCCAGCAATTTAAGAATCTGGATCCAGTTTGACCGTTCAGCTAAATTCCATCTATCAGGCTATCAATTTTTCTTATGCATATTTAACATAAATTTTCATTTTGATAAAAACGTTATAACGATAGAGAATATTTTATATTAAAATTAAATGTTTGTTTTTAAAACATTTTATTTAACACGAAATTCGTTGAAAAAGGGGAAAATATCTCCACTTTCCATTTAACATCAAAACGGGTTCAACTTTTTGTAATATTTTCGAACAGCAGTGATCAGATTATTTTGGAATGAGACCAAATACTCTCATTTAGGGGACTCGTCCATCATATATTTCAACAATTTTTTCATAAAATGCCTCACATAATGATTTTTTTATATTTTTCTTTAGACAGAAAGACGAGGAGGAGCTGTAAATAATGCTTACCAATAAAAAGGAAAATTGCATCATCTGATTTAACTTCTGATCATAAGCAAGATGGCAAAAATTAATCATCGCTCATAAAAACTGTACAAANATTTCTGTAAAATTATTTTCATTATATTGTCTAGTTCTGCATTTACTTAGCTTTCATGCATCCATACGCGTATGTTGGTATCTGACAAATATTCTTTCGTAATTTTTAGGATAAAGAAAAAGAAGCTTGACGAGCCTGATCGAATGCTTTATGCTACTGAAATGGTATAGTTTTTGGGAAACAGATTTGTATTTATGCTTTTTAAACTTCATTTTAATGACATAAAATGTGCCATTTAAATGCGAATTATTATTAACTCCTTTGACTGTGATACCAACGCAAATGCAGTAATTTTGGAATGCCCGACCTGAATTCGGGCAAGAGAAAAAAGGATACTTCACTTCCGTTGAACCCGAACTCAGTTCATCCAGTGCATAATATGCAATTTACCTTTTTTCCGACAGATACTTGTTTACAGCAGATATAGATACAGATTACAACAGATACAGATACTTGTTCCCACGAAAAGTTTGGCAGTTTCGCGCCATTTCTTGGATTTTTGAAATGTGTCCGAAATTCAAAATTTTTGTTACGTTTTTCTCAAATTAATTCTACAGGTGAGGAGAAAAGTGAATTTAAAATAAAATTATAAAAGTGAAACATTTACTGAAATATGTTTAAAAAAAATAATCTTTTGAATTAAGAAATTTATGCAAGCTACATTTCATTTAATTTTTTACTGCTCAGTATATTTTTCTCATAAATGTTAACTCATGTTTAATTTTTGATTTTTGTATGTGTTAGATACCGTTATTTGTAGTTTTTTTTCTTCATTAAAAGCAATAAGTTCTGCCTCCTTTAAAAACACAGATAAAATTAAAATCTATAAAACTCCGATTGTTGCAGAAAGCTCTTGAATCGTAGGCTTCGATGCAAAGAAAATAAAATTATAATCTAAATTTCAGTTCAATTTAATATAACTGTCCATCAAAATATACAATAACTGTATTCAGCAATTATAAACACGATCGTTTTTCGTGGGACCATTAATTACGATCGAAAAATACGGGAAAGCGACGAATGCACATCAATATAAAATATCAAATAATGTTTTGAAAATGCATGAAAAGGAATAAAGGTGGACATGAATATGAATAAATTTAGAACAAGTATATAAAGTTTAATTGGAAAAAATTATATACTTATTGCAAAAATACTTAGAATGCAAGGAACGATGACTAAAAGGCATTTATTTATATAAAATAGTATTACAATTATAACAACTATTGAGTTACTGTACTATACGGCTAATTTCAAGAGTTAAAACTAAACAAAATACTTAATTTTTTAATTTTAAGTTTATTTTTTACACTATTCATTAAACTTACTTTTTACATTATTCATTAAGCTTATTTTTTTACATTATTCATTAAACTTATTTTTTACATTATTCATTAAGCTTATTTTTTACATTTTACATCTCTATAGCTTTCTCTCGATCGCAATTTTTTTTACTTTAATATCCAATATAATGCAAAAAAATATATTATTTTACAACTGGGTTGACATTTGCTATGAAAAAAGAGATGATTGCTAGATTTTTTTTATATTAACAATATGAAATTATAATAAGAGTAAAAAACACGAAGAAGCATTCAGTAATAATAACAAACTTGATCCTTACAGCCTCACCCTCTATAGGAGATCAAGTTGGAAGCAACTTCAAAATCTGAAATCGTATTCATTATTATGACACGAAGAACCGTATAAACAGGGCTGTTAACTTCATACGCTTTTTGTAAACATTAATTATAGTGGTATCTAAGTCAATGATTTATTTTTATTCAGTTAAACTTATTTCCCACACAACTACATATAAATGATTTAAAACTTCATTTGCAACACTACTTTATTTCAGTTCTTTAATGGTCAGGCTTTCAAAATATTGGCAAAATTATCTAAAATTCTGAAAGCTTTAGTTTTTAAATGTCTACTACTCTATAAAATATTTTTCAAAAAACGTAGTAGTTGGCAGGCCTGCCATTGAACTATTTACATGTTGTGGAGTGAAAACTTAGTTTAAATCAAATTTACAAGAGAAAGAATTATACATTAAAACGTAAACTCAGTTAACCTTAGAAGATATTTTCCTCAAAAGCGTAGAAAGTTAGCAGCTCTGTATAAAGCTCAGCACAATCGACACTAGCAGTTAAAATTCGTACTAAGTCTTTCAGTTTACTATTTCCTAATAATTTTTGCTCATTAATTTAAAAAAAAACACGCAATCCTTTATTTTTATTGTACTTGTGCTGTTTACAATATGATTTGTGCTATTTACCACTTAGTCGGAAAATCCATTTATATTTAGCTGAAGACATCAAAAAATGAAGATAACACTCTACTAGAAGCCTCCTTACACTTTATGTCGTGATATTACTAGTAATTTTCTTAAATCGATTAATGGTTCATCACTTCTAAGAAGTTATTAAATGTAGGAAAATATTACAAATAGTAATATTACGAGTAAATTTAAACACAAAACTCAATAATAAAACTTCTTAGAATATCAATCCTATTTTTACATCGTCTCATAAGCCTCAAATAATCGGAAGGATACATCATTAGTTTTTATCATTCCGTTCCGAGTTTTTTTGTTGTTGTTTTTTTGTGACAAATCTATCAGAATAAGAACAAGCTTGCCAACTACTACGCTTCATGAAGCATATTTCCCACAGTAGTAAAAAATTGAAAATTAAAGCTTTCATATTTTTTCGTAATTTTGCCAAAATTTTAAAAGCTTCATTTCAGGTGAGATTAAGCAAATTGGAGCAGCATAAGGGCTTTTAAATCATTTACAAGTAGTGGTGCGGAAAATAACTTAAAATCAAACTTACAAAGCAAAGAATCATTCCTTAAACCTAAACTTTAGATACGAATTCCGCACCCGGCTGGCACCGACTACAGGAGGACGTAAAATATCCCCAATGATAAACGGATCATCGGTTAGAGTCTTCTTGCCATCAGACTAACCGTGGGAGGTTTTCGTGGTTTTCTTCTCCATGTAACGCAAATGCGGGGTGGTTCCATAAAAAAGTTCTCCACAACGCCAAATTTCTCCCAATATTTGATCCAGGAGTTCAATTGTTTTCTGGATTGAGTTCATAATCACAAGGCTACGGAATTGAACATTAGTAGTCGTAAACCCAAAAATTGTGTCGGCTATTTAATCACGGTAATAAAAAAATGAATAAACATAACCTTAGTTACCACTCGAGGAAATTTTCTCAAAAAGGATGGAAATTTGGTGTACTTGTAAGAACAAGGGACAGACCCAATCTTAGATGGTTAACTCAAACTGCTCCGGAACAGATTTAGCCATCCTGAGAGGGAAACAAGAAGATAATGGCTAATAAAAGAAATGCCCGAAGAATATTTTTGAGAATGCTAGGTCCTATCCTTGGCTGCCGTGTTATTAGAGAAGAAAAAAATGCAGTTTTTGAACTTTTTTATTGTTTCCAGTCAGTTTTCCAATCTATTGCAGATTTTGAAATTTCTTTTGTATCCCAATTAAACCTGTGGACATTTTGTTTGCAATAGCAAAATGTAATAGTTTGCAAAATGTTTCCGCACCTGGAAACAATAGCAAAATGCAATAGTTTGCAATTGCGCTGCAATCGCAAAATGTAAATGCGTACAGATTGTTTAAAGCGGAGATACTTCGAGAAATACAAGTCAGATTGACAAAAATAAAAACAGACGTTAGATATTAAAAACATTAATAAAAAAAACGTGTTACACATTTTGAGTCAAAGAGACAATTCCTGGGGCGTAGGGACCAAATTTAGTGTCTTTAAATACTACTTTTGAAAGTGTTTCACACTTGCATCATTAGATTTTACATCCAAACCATAATTCTCAAGATATTTGCACGTTTCTATACTCTTTGGACACACCCATTACACGGGCAGATGATATCACGTAACTCGTTTTGTTCCGAATTTATTTATTGAAATGATACAAAAAGTGATTTTATGGAAAAAGTGGTACAATATATTATCGAAATAATTTTTTTTTCTACTCTTAGGACATTCAAAAAATCATTGATAGATCAAAAAGTATTTGCTCCTTATAATTCTAGATCTAATCAGAAATAACTAAATCATTGTGGTATCTGAGAATCTTTTAATTCACCCAGATAAATGAAAATGCTGAAAAAAGTTTCCCACCACAATGAATGTCTTTGAAAAAAGGAACTGTCCTATATATATGACGCTGGGCGTTAACCGGTTAATGCATTAGTTATAACAGCATCAGATCTGACTTGAAAATATATCAGACATTAACGCTTTT